AAAGGTGTAGACAGCATATACTTCGTCGTCTGCTTTTGATGAACTCACATACGCGAACTAGTGCATGCCTGTGATTATCGGTACATGGTTCAATTTCGGGCAAGGTAATCCAAGCTTTGCTGTGTTCACGTAGCTAATATCCACTGCGTCCCACATAGGTTCCCAACATGACATGTCGAAGCAGTCAAGTTCAGACAGGTGTCACCTCTCCTCACGGCCGGGTAAGTTTCTGAACCCATCGCGTTCGTGAAAGAAAATCATCGAGCTTCTTCGGCCACGATTTGAGCCAAGCCATGTCAAGATTTTCGTCCTGCAGACCACCTTTTATTTCCCGGGTAGGTGATCGCAACTTGATCACCAAACACGCTCCCTTGCAGGTGAGAGTCGAGCCCACACTCGAGACAGCGTCTTAAATAGCATGAACCAGACGCCTAGCTTATCGGGACGACGCCGTCATGACCAGCACACATTGTGATCAGGGCTGCTGATGTGGACACTCTGACCAGTTTGCATTCCATGCCGCCGTTGTTGTTGCCAGTCGGTTCGAGAACCGAAATCGAGCCCTCCCCACTCACGATGGCGTGGAAGGACACGTGACGTCATGCGTAACTTTGATGTCAACTGTTGAAGGGAGAAGCAAACATGAGCCGCGGAATTTTTATCCGAAAGACAGGAGAGGGATCGGAGACTGATGTGCCGGTAGCTCCATTTCCAGCATGATCTGATCAGCACGTTGAACCATCCGCGAGGCAGCACAGCTTCCTCAAAAGAGGCGTGTGGCAAACTAGAAGCCCACCGAGGCCGTCTACACCGAGACGATTCACGATGCAAATCCTCGGTCAACGCGAAGAAAAGGGGGAGGTGCCCACAACACGGAAGAAAAGCGGACCGCAGGCAGCCCCAGCCCATCTCGGCTTGCCGAAGCCACCACTTCCCACCGCCCGTGGCTGGTTATTTCCTTCTAGGGGGCGTTGTCGCAGCACGGCCAGAACAACAGCCGGGGGCACGAGAAATTGCTGTGCAGCAGTCCTCCGGCGCCAAGACTCTGAATCAAGATTGAGGCCGGCGCCATCTGCAAGGCAGGCAAGCCTGGTGTGTTCCGTAGCGATCGAGCAGAAGCCTGGGGATCAGGCTGTTGGGTATTCTCGAGTTCACAGCTACTTCAGCACACCCCCTCTCTCCTTTGGCCATTGTCCACAAGTAGGTACCTAGGTAGGAAAAATGATTGGGGGGAGAGGCGCACGTGATGTTTCTTTGCCCTCCAATACTGGAACAAAGAACAGGACAGATGGGATTCCAAGGAGGCCTGTTCGTCCCGCCACGGCCTACAGTACTGATAGGTGGCCCGCTAAAAAAAAAAACCCCTAACCACCCCCGGCGCCACGCCAAAGCAGTCGAGAAACCCACGCCCAAGGAACGCCAACGGGGCCCCAGAGCATCTCCGTAACTCCGCTCATCAGTCACAGCAGAGGTCCTCCCCCGTTGACACGCAGCAGGAACCAGGGATGGCTCAATGCGCCGCAGTTCCCGTTTGGCTTTGACGAAGAATTGGACAAGGGCGCCTTGCAATGTGGGAGGAAGCACTGGAGCATGAGAGGGAGTTACGAGCCGACCCATCTCTTCACTGTACGACTCAGCGACCCACGTCTGCCCACGTCCTATTGATAGAGCCAGCCGCATGCTCACGGCGAGGTAGCCTTGAAAGAGAAGGGTCGCGCGTGAGTTCTTGATCGAGTCAGGAAACTGTGCCAAGGTGCGGAGGTCAAGCCAAGGCCACCAGAGGGCTCCTTGGGCCAACCGTACTGTGTGGGCCTTGGGGAAGGGAGGAGGGTGTGGCCAAGGAACAACAGTACAAGGAAGCTGGTGGGATGCCAGAGAGGGTTGGTTGGCAAGGCTGGCTGGAGAACGATTGAGCTCTTCTTGCTGTGCCAAGTTCCAATCCAAGACGGACTCGCTCAGCCAGATTGAGGCTTCAAGTTCAATTTCTGAAGAATCGCCAAAATGATCCATCCAGGGGCTGAGAAAGGAAAAAGGAATGAAAAAAGGCTTGACTTGACGTCTACGCACCCGAATTGGGTTTGATGGCGCCGTGCAACACGCGTTGCACTGGCTCTAGCGGTGGCTGTCAACTGTCACAGAGGACAGAAAGAATGCTGCACAGCCTCGCACCGTCTCCAGGGGGGGCGGGGGGCGGCCTTCGAGCACTGGAACATGGCGTCGGGAGAGAGAGAGAGAGAAGGAAAAGCACTGACTAGACACCTTCTGTGGAAGGGTGTGGAAATAGAGAGGATCCCCCAACCAAGAGGCACAGGCAGGAATCGTTCGCCTGTTGCCCTCGTTGCCTTCCTCTTCCAGCAATGGCCCCGCTACTAGCAGAAGACTGGTGGGAAGGGGCCAAAGACTGCGACACATGCACTGGTGAGCATGTCAATTGGCTAGAGGGAAGAAAGGACCGACGGGGAGTTTTTTCTTCGACCTCCGCTGGGGAGGCACAGAACCCACCACTGCGCCGTCTGCAGGTAGTAAGTACCTTACATTAACAAGTACTATGTACGACGCCTGGAAGCTGAAGGGTAGCTAGTGGGTGGAGATTGCCATATTACGTATTGCAGCACTGGCTCCACTCACGCTCAAGTACGAGAAAGAGCCGACGCTCGTTGATGTTCGCAATCGTCGTACCGAATCCGCTGATCATCCGAGTTCAGATGGCAATTGCGAAGACGAAGGCGAGCCTGTTTGATCCGAGCCACGTTTGCCCTTGGATTCCAAAGAATGCCTTTGCTCTTCGCTCGGAAGAGCCGGTCGATGAACTGTCTCGGCTTGATGACTCGTCCTGCGCCGTCTCGCACTCGGGCTCGGAAACGAGAGACGACCCTGAAAGTCTGAGCCAAATGAACGAGTCGTGTTGAGTAATAATACTACCATTCGGCAAACTCCAGGGATCCAGGCACCAGCTGCTGGGTTGCCTGATCGCCGTCGACTCCGAGGCCACAACATGGTGAACGCGCAGCATTCTTTCCAGTGATAACATGCCTGAGAACCGGTCTCGCATGCGACTTTTTCCAAGGCAGCGTTCGGTTTCTGACCGGGAGCGACGCGTCCGACAGCGACCCACGCCGAGGCGCAATGCTGAGCCTGTTGCGAAGCAGCTTGATCCGAGCGAACGCGACGAGGCAAGGTTTGATTGTGCGACCAACCTGTTGCGGTTTGCGTATGCAAGGTTGCAAGGTTGCTTGGTTACTGCGTAATGGACGACCAGTTTGCAATCTGCTTGGCGCGCAGGCAGCTAGATCTGGCAAGCAGGCCACTTGCAGAATGCATCCTTCAGAATACCATGCGTCCATCCAACTGAATCATTCGTCAGGCCTCCCTCTCATGACGTCCCACACTTTTGGTCACTACGTCGCTGAGCGATCGCACTGTGATCGGCTGCCTTGGGACAAGACTGCGACACCGTTTCGCCTCTTCGTGTTGGAGGCTCTTATTAGTGAGATCGCCTTCTTCGGGTGGCTCGTACTGTGATCCACGCTTGCCGGCGGTCGTTGGCTTTTTGTTGGACCGGCGGCGATTCATTTTAACAGCCCGGCGTGTGTGGCTCGTGCTATTGTCACAGACCAGGCCAGACCAGCGCTGGGCTGGTGTGTTGAACAGAGAACAGAAATGGAGCAGCGCAGGCCCCTGGAACCAGTCATAATACTGGGATGACGGCTCCCTGTTTCAGGGTCCTGGAGATCGATAAGGGGAAGTGGGGTGGGGTTCGCATGCAAGAGGAGAATCTGTCCTCTGCCCCTTGGCTTGCCACCAATGGGAAGTACTTTCGCATTAACGGCCCCTGGACCCGCCGAAGCTCAGCGCTGTCCAAGCCCCCCCGCCCTGTAGCCCTTTGAGGGCCGAATTGGCTCGTCCCAAGCTCGGGCTTGCACGTTCTCGCCTGCTGCTGCGCCCCTATCCTGGCGTCGTCCGTTGCTCACCAAGGGGACGCCAGCCTGCTAACGACGCACCGTTAGCATGGGTTCTAGCGGTTGAATATTGTCAGGGGGTGGGGGAACAAGTCCCTGGGCGGCGGGCGAGCCAAAACAGCGAGTTGCGAAATGATCTGCCCCTCTTTAATGTGGCTCGTGTGGGCGTGCCAGTAGTGAGAAATGAAGCACGAGCAAGCCGGGAAAGCGCAGCATGGGCGGGAAAAGGCGACGTTGCGCAGTCAGTCATTCGAGGTCAAATCGGATCAGTGTAGGCATCCAGTCCAACGGTGGACGGGGTAAGGGGGGGGAAAGAGGGTCGGGCTGGCAGATGCCTCGCACATCGCCGGCCTGGAACTCGTCCTGCTCGTGCTCCCTGGGTCGTTCGTCTGCCGATCCGGTTACTGTTCATTCGCCCCCTCGTCCGTTCGTCGTTCGATGTAAAAGCCTCGACTGCTGTTTCCCTGTCGTACCTCGTTCCCCCTCGAAGCTGCTCCTGCCGGTTTTGCTGTTCGTTCCTTCCCTTGCGACCTTCCCAGCTGCTGCTGCCCCGCCGCTCAGTCGTCCCTACATCAGTCCGCCGACAGAACGCAGGAACGAACTCCCCTCTGAGGTTCCTTCCGACTCTTCCAAGAACAGCACCAGCACCAACACTAGACAGCAGTCGTTGCCTGCTACCTTTTCCGAGGTGCTGTATTCGCTTTTCGACATCGCCGAATCCAACTTCCCGAAACCTTTTGCTCGGGACAACAACAAGTCAGCTCGACCATTTGTCCCGTACTCCATTCATTCCGACATCCTCTTTTGTTCCCGACGTCGAATCAGTCTGGACGACGCGTCGTGACAGCGCAACCAGAGCAATCCTTGGCAGCCGGCAGCTTGATCATCGAAACCATCAAAATTTCGACTCGTTTCGGCCTTTGCATCCTCTGCTCAAACACAACTTTGTGCTGTTGGAAATATTTGGCATCCTCTGCATCGGCACCAAAACGCATCAGCCACGGACCGGAAGAAAAGAATATCCGAAGAATAACCGTCGCCATGGGTCGCGACGATGTCATCCTGCCGCGGGAAGTCGAGGCTCTGATTGCCGAAGGCCAGACCATTGTCGTTTTCGAGGAGTACGTGCTCCGCCTGGACTCGTGGCTCGAGCGTCATCCCGGAGGGCGCCTGGCCATCCTCCACATGGTGGGAAGGGATGCGACTGATGAAATCAAGGTGTAAGTAAAAAGGAGTGAAACCGCGCGGCGACCAGCGTTGTATTTTAAGCTCCCTTGACACGCCAGACAATGGTGGTCGAGGTTAAGCTTAAATGCGGAGACCCCGGTGGTTTTGATGCACCCGAAGCCCCGGAAGTCCGCTCCAAAACACATGGCAATTGCAGTGGCATGATGTGATGGATGGGCGGACTGGAAAACCACTGGCCTTTTGTCCTGCTTGTGTCCGGGTCGACCGGTTCGCTCGGGCTTAGCGGTCCATCAGTGCGCCCTACCAGGCACGGGGGGGATTGCTCACCTTGCACGGCGTCTGCTGCTTCGATTGGACGATTCTCATTTGTTTGCTTACCCAGCATGAAACCAAACAAGAATTTGCTGACCATTCTTGGTGCTATCAGATACCATGCTGCCTCTACGCTCCGCACTATGAAGGCGTTCCGGATCGGCCGGAAGCCTGCGGGTCTCTGGCCCAATATGCTACCGCCAATCAGAGGTGGCGTCTACCGCAAGGCCGACTCAACCCCTTCCTCTTTGGGCGACTCGATGCCTACCTGCCCTGTCATCGTCGAGCCCGCCGTCGCCGATTACTCCGATGATGCTGCCACGGACTCTGACTCGGACTCGAGCAGGGCCCGTGGTTCCGATGATGCTGGCCGTCTCAGCCCTGGCCTCGACCGGGCCTCCCTGGCCTCGTCTGTCACATCTGATTGTGGCAGCGACGATGAGATCGAGATCCAAAATGCAAAGGATCTCGATGTTTCCGCCCTGTCGGGTCTGCGGAAGCGGACGGTCCCGTCGTCCGTCGAAGGTGCTGCCGTGAACAAGGGCATGCCTCCCGGCGAATGGGCCCGCAAGCTGTCTCCCCTCGAGTACACCGACTGGGCCATCCAACAAGAGGTTGAACGTGAGGCTGCCATGTATCCCTCCGTCGACATGGCCACACAGCAAGACATTATCCAGAAGTACCGTGCTCTGCACCAGAAGGTCATCGACGAGGGCCACTACGATTGTCGGTACACTGAGTACGGCAAGGAATTGGTCCGCTACACCTCGTTGTTCGCCGCCTTCTTCGTTGCTCTCCGCTATGAGTGGTACATCACGTCGGCTTGCTTCCTGGGTCTCTTCTGGGTAGGTGCTCTTTTCTATGATGTCTTCTGTTTTGCGAGGCCTTTCACTAACACCTGACAGCACCAAATCATGTTCAGTGCCCACGATGCTGGCCACCGCGCCATCACTCACGTCTTCTGGATCGACACTCTGATCGCCCTATTCATCGCCGACTTTTGCTGCGGCCTGTCTATGGGATGGTGGAAGAGCAGCCATAACGTACACCACCTCATCACCAACATGCCCGAGCACGACCCCGATATCCAGAACGTCCCCCTGTTCGCCACCTGCATCTCGTACGCCAAGTCCCTGACATCGAGCTACTACGACGGCTTCGTCTACGTCTGGGACAAGGCTGCCGACATCATGGTTCCATTCCAAAAGTACACTTACTACCCTGTCATGGGCATCGCTCGCTTCAACCTCTACCTCCTGTCCTGGTGCCACGTCCTTTCCAAGAGGTCGTCTGGCCTAGGTAACAGCAAGGCTTGGTGGATCCGTCCTACCGAGATTGCCTTCATGACCTGCTACTGGTTCCTTTTCGGCTACTGCCTCGTCTGGCGTTCCATCCCCACTTGGACCATGCGCGTCATTTTTGTACTCGTCTCGCACATCATCACCATGCCTCTACATGTCCAGATCACTCTGTCCCACTGGGGCATGTCCACTGTCGAACTGAGCGATGGCGAGTCCTTCCCCCAGCGCCAGCTTCGCACAACGATGGATGTAGACTGCCCTGCTTGGCTTGACTGGATCCACGGTGGCCTTCAGTTCCAGGTCGTGCACCACCTCTTCCCTCGTGTGCCTCGTCACAACCTTCGTCGCGTGCAGGTCCACGTTCGCGAGTTCTGCAAAGAGACAGGCATCCCTTATTCTATCCTTAGCTTTGTCGATGGTAACAAGAAGGTCATCGGTCGCCTGAACGACGTTGGCGAGCAGGTTAAGATGATGCTCAACTGCCAAAAGTACATGGCCGAAACTGGCGAGAGCGGGTTGCATTAGCTGTGTTGGACCAATGTCTTGAGTAGCGTGTCATTGCATTGTTTTCTCTGGAGGCTTTTTTTGGGACTGGCGTAGGAGGAGTTTGAAAAAATTGACTTGGCACACACGGTCTACCCACGTGTTGGATAGTACTAGCTGGCCCTTCTTCTGCAGGCTTGCGTCCTGCTGGCACGATGCCATTTTGCATGGAAAGGTGTTGAATACAGGCTTGCACAGCCATTTCTAATTGTTCATTTCATACAATCCACAATTTCGACTCACGGACCGCTTGGCGCTATTCCGTGAAGCTGACACTCCGGGGCAGAACACTTGAAGTGGCCTCTTGACATGTCCTATGTCTGTTGTCTCTAAAGGTCGAAGGCTTCCAATTATTCTCAACCGGTCTTAGCATCATGCATATTCGACCCTGAATGTAAACTTTCACGTCTTGGTCCTTCTTCCTCCGCGCTGATGCTGACGAAGGCTGACCTTGTTCGTGGGTGCTTGGGGGACTCGGCTGCCTCTGGGCCCTGGTCGGTGAAAGCAGATGTAAACCACGGAGCGGTAGAAGCATTGGACTGACTACATGACTTGAATCGTCCTGTCCGGGAGCTTTCATGCACGACCTGCACATTGATGCAAGACAAGCTTTTGTGGGTTCAAGGCTAAGGCTGTTTGATGCAGGATCAAATATCTACTCCTGGCTCTTATCTACACGATGGGGCGCATGTCTCTCAGCCGATCAAACGACCGATGCCCGACGCTCAATGTTCACCCACATGTCTTCAAAGTAACTGACACCACCCTTGACCAAATACTTTGCAGGGTTCTCCTTGTTCAAGATCTCCGGCTTGAACGTGCGGAAGAACTGCAGCGGTGCCTTGTAGAGCTCCATCTTGGCAATCTCCTGTCCGAGGCAGATGCGGGCGCCGTACCCGAATCCCATGCTGTACTTTTGATACTCCTTCGCCTTCTCGGCGTCCAACCACCTCTCAGGGCGGAACACCTCGGCATCGGCCCCGTAGATGTTGGGGTCCCGGTGGACGAGCCAGGGGTTGCATGTGACCTCTGTGCCCTCGGGCACGAACTGGCCGGCGAGCTCCATGCCGCCCTTTGGCGCGAGGCGGGGGAAGATGTTGGGCGCCGAGGGGTTGAGGCGCATGCTCTCCTTGACGCAGGCGATGTAGTAGGGGCAGTGGGTGGTGACCTCCTCGTACTGGGGCATGGCCGAAAGGTTCCCGTCGCGGGTGGCGGCATCGATCTCGGCCATGAGCTTGTCGTAGACCGCATTGTTGGACATGATGTGGAGCATGAGAGCTTGGAACGCGGTGCCGGTCGTGTCGGCGCCCGCGAGGAGGACGAGCAGAATCTCGGCCTTGATGTAGTCGAGCGTCAGGGGCTCGTCATTCTCATCGCGCGCTTCGATAAATCTGCCCAGCAAAGTCAGTACCCGCTAGCATCTTTCGGGTGTGCAACGGCCGACGTACGTTTGAAGGAGGTCGATGCGTCCGTCCGTTGTTCCAGCCTTGATGTCGTTGAATCTCTTGGTGATGAGGCGGTCGCGGAAGCGCATCAGAGTGCCGATTCCCGAGTCTTGTTCGGGGCTGGCGACGAGATACTTGCCCAAAAAGGTGCTCTTGACCCAGTTGGTGAAGGGATAGCAGCGAGCCATGATGCCAAAGGACACGAGACCGTCGTGGAAGCCTTGGATCAGCCCCTCGACGTCCTTCCCCTGCTCCACAAAGCCAAACGGCGCGCCGAACCCGACCTCGGAAATGACATCGTAGGCCATGTAAACCGCCCAGGGCGCAAAGTCGAACTTCTGGCGGGGCTTCGCAAACAAGTCGTCCAGCCTGTCGACCCAGCTCTGGATCCTGTCGTCGATCATGGGCTCCATCTTCTTGACGTGGCTGAAGCTGTACGACGAGGCGGCGACCTTGCGGAAGCGCGCGTGGACGCTGGCGTCCTGCATGTTGAAGAGGGACTCATCCTTGCCGAAACTGCCCGTGATGTAGTGCTTCGACTTGCTGGCGTTGCGGCTGTAGATCTGAGGGAGCTTCGTCGCGTCGCTGACGAGGAGCATCGTCGGTGTGATGCGGATGACCGGACCTGGCAATCACATCAGTTAGGATGCAGCCGGGACCGTTTCATGCCTGTCAAAGCCAGCATTACCATGTTTCTTGTGCAATTCTTGGTATGTCGCACACTCATCCTCCTTTACATTGTGATAAGTAATCCATAGCCTGGTGACGCTGCCCCAGAACGAGCCGGGGAACTTGGCGAGCGGGTGGAAGAAGCGGTAGTGAACCACTTGATACACAACACTGAAGGCGACGTAAGCCACAATCAGCAGCGTCAAGCTGCTGAAGCTGAGCAAGGCCATTCTTGCTGACTGACTCAAACTCCTGGGTTGTGCACCGACGGCAGGTGAAGAAGCGTGTGGCTATCCGAGACAGATGCAGGGGACCGCGGACTGATGAACTGCTGGCTGTGCTCCTGAAGAGATGCGAGGACCCTTAGCGATAAATGAACAACCTGGAGGGGTCCAAAGGGACTGCCTCACACCCGGAAAACATCCCACATCTCCTCAAAGCCGATGCTGCGGGCGAGCTTCGCAGGCATGACCAATGACGAGCTCTTGGTTACAGATGCCCCCAAAACTGAGATGGCACCTGTCGCATCGCGCGGGTGCGCATTGCTGTATGCAGAAGAGACGGCATTAGTGACAAGAGTCAGCACATAACGAACATGGTTTCCTGCATGACACCCCATTTGATACCTCTCGACCTCAGTCGCTGCGACGGGGTCGATCTCTTCCATAAAACGACAAGTGCCCGGCATAGAGCGGACATGGTGGGCCTAAGGGGCATCTTCTCCATCAGTTGGTTCAGTTCAAAACTGACAATGGAGATGGTCCTGTTATAACCCAATCACTGACACCTTTCGTCGACGCCTCTCCCGGTTAATCCCCCGGCTCACGACTCGTCGTTGCTACGTTACTGGGGGCGCATGCAATGGAACCTTACGCGGACGGCTGTGCATGCCGATCGGAGGATTGAACACGAAGCGTGAGGCGGGGCCCAAAACTCCACCCGCGTCTGCTGCAGTGAATCTTTGGACTGTGACTGATCAACTCGATACTGAAGAACTTCTGACATCTGCAGGTCCTGCGGCAGCCAAGAGCCCCGAAGCCTTCTCCGCCCTTCCAAGTCCCCGTTGACTGAGAATGGCCTGACGTGCTGCCTGGCTGCGGAAAGGCCTTTTCTTGTGGAGAGACTTCATGGATGTTGACGTATCATGAGTGACGGTTGGTTATTTCAACGTCGAGGATGAGTGGCTCTAGTTGATATCCTCCTCCACACCCCTGCCTTTAAGCGGAAGCGCTAGATCGGTCTCCCCGGACCTGACAGACAGAAGTAGTTCGGAAAGATTGAACGAAGGGCATCATCCGACGACTTGCTGACTTTGCCAGGGGTGACGGCGCGAGAGATCGAGGCTGGGCCCGCTCGAGGTGCTGCTCCGTGTAGTGTGAGTTATCACTTTTCAGCAGTTCCCTGAGCAGGCGCCAAGGACTGTGGCGAAGGACGGACACGCGAGCCCCTGAATCGGCTCCTTTCAGCATCCTCTACGGGTTCCTGGTGTTCATGTTGTCGATCCAACGGATGCGCGCAAGCGTAGGTCATCACCGCTTTGATCCTTTTGGCTCAATCCTGCCCAGCAGGCGAAGACTGGTCCAGAACTTTCCCGACAACCAATTTAGCAGAAAGAAGCTTCATGCGAGTTGACGTCGGCAGTGTGATGTAATTGTCTTTCGACTGAAGGAGCGTGAGCAGCATGGAATCTACTGCCATGTTTTAGAGGCTCCCTCTCTCGGCTGCCAAAAGCGGCAAATCTCGATCAAGAAAATGAATGCAAACCAAGCGGGCGGCCAAACAGATGGCTGACGCAAATTTTGCGAACTTCTTCCGATGAAACAGCTCCCTCGCCAATGACGGTCTTTCTTTGGCACTCATCTCGTCGTTCACCGTCTCTTTGGACACTTCAAAATCTGTTCAACAACGTCAAAAAGGCAGTGCCCGATCGACTGGGCCCAACCGAAAAGAGAATCTTGAACGTTCATCTTTACTTCTGTGGGATTCAATGTCACTATATGCAACAGGTCCATGTTGTTGGGCCTCCTTCGGTCCAGGAACAGCAAGCGGCATCAACTAGGCAGATTCAGACAAATTGAAGTTGGGCCCTCGTCAGTTGCCTTCCAGACCTTCCAGCCCACCTTTCGGACATGGATGCAACGCGGAATGTTGGTGATGGGTTTCCGATAGGCTGATTAAGTGGAGGCTGGAGTTTTGTCGTTGCATTCGCCCAGGATGATGCCGTGGCCAACCCCGGTCGAGCCCTCGGGCCGCAGGAACACTTTTGGCATTTGCGTATGCAAATCTCTGACATGTCATTCTTGAGAGTAGGGCTAGGCCTGTGCGCCCAACGTCTGCTCGTGTGCGTGATCTCATGCTATGGCGAGGCCGAGAGGTGCTCGAGGACACCCATATTGCAGTGTAGTCTGATGTTTGGAACAAACCTGCCGAGATCGTCTCCTTCCATGGGCGTTGGTTCCGGTTTGCATGTAACCTCCTTTCCGAGTAATGCAGGTGCAGGCCTAATAAGCTGTGACACATCTGACATGAGGCCCTGTTGTTCGGGGATTTAACTCATGCAACCCCTCTCTCCACGTCGGATGTCGGTTGACAGTCGTGGTGCATATGGTCTTGATATATTGACGCATTCCCGGTTTCAATATCTCTGCCTTTGGCGCTGTGGCACACGTTCTTTTCATTCCATAAGTTATCTTTGACCACAGTAGCACGGTAGTGTGGTCTGGTCGCCATGTCTGAGACGCAGGGCCCGACTGTCATTGCAGTCGCCGCTGTTTTCGCTGTTTTACTCTTCTTCACCCTCATTTTGAGGATATATGCCAGAGTAGCTGTCGTCAAGTCCGTTGGGCCAGATGATTGTAAGACTTTCGTGTTCTCCTCTGCGAGAAGATTGCTGACGCTCTTGTTCAGACCTCATCATAGTTGCTGCCGTAAGAAGCTTAAACTCCCGCCTTTGTAATATTAGGTTGCTCACCAGAACAGCTTCTATCTTGGGCTTTCATTGCTTGTGTCATCAAATGTAAGTTGTCAGTAACCAAGGAAAAGACGCAAACATGCTGAGATAACCTAGCCGTGGAACATGGCCTCGGAAGCCACTATCCAGAAGTTATAGCCCGCGGAACCGAAAACTTCATCACCTATATGCAGGTGGTATGGCTTTCCTCCATCTTTTATAACGCCTGTCTCGGCTTCATCAAGATCTCGGTCCTCGCTCTCTACATGCGCCTCGGTGACCGAAAGCTTCGCCGTGTCGCCATGGTCATGGTTGGTGTTATCTTTTGCCAGGCTGGTGCCAACGTCCTGGCTTGCATTTTCCAGTGCGCGCCCGTGAGCGCAGCCTACGACATCCGCATCCTGCCCGCAGACAAGAAGTGTATCGACATCAACGCCTTTTATCTTGCCAACGCCGCGGTCAACATCTTCACCGACATTCTAACCTACACGCTCCCGATTCCCTTGGTTGTCAAGCTGCAGATCCCTCGTCAGCAGAAGATTGGCCTGGCCGTTATCCTCGGTCTAGGTCTCTTGTATGTATACCAAATGCCTGATGGCGCCCGCGGCGATACTGATGTTGATGTGTACAGTGCTTGCGTCTCCTCCATCATCCGAATTACCTATATTCCTCAGATGCTCGTCTCGGACGACCCCACCTGGGCAATCACGGGCGCGATGTACTGGTCGGTCATCGAAACGAACATTGGTATCCTGGCCGCCTCCATTCCATCCTACAAGGCCATCGCCAAGCGCTACGCCCCCCGTCTTTTGGGAACCTCAAGCAACGGTAGCCACAAGCGTTCTGTCTTCAAGATGATGAAGTGTGGCAGTGGTGGTCCCAGCCAGCACACCGGGGGCGACATGAAGCCAACGAGCACCAAGCCTGCTTTCAGCACGTTCGACACGCACGCTACGAATGACAACAGCAGCGAGGAGGTTCTCTTCACACCGACGGGGCGGATTGGTGTCAAGACGGAAATCGTTCACCAGTTTGAGGAAGCGGGCAATGGCCAGGATAGCTTCGGAGGTGGGCTTCCTTTGCAGGGTGTGCGACACAGCAGTAAACCCGACTCTGCGTGAGTGAAGGTCCAGTTGATTTGAAGTTCTCGCGGGTGGCTGATGTGATCACCTAGGCTGGGCAGATCGTCAGCGTCGATCCATGGGGGTTCAAGAAGCTCTCGATAAGCTTGATTTATTGGGTATGGAATGTGAGGCCAGGGTCAGAGCACCGATATTCTATGCTATCAGACACCTAGTTCTTTGAGGCAGAGCCGACTGAATCTGTAATAAATCGGGCAACAAGAATAGAAACATTGCTTGGTCCCGAGTGTTTAGTATTCTTCCTTGGGTGCGTTGAAGAATGTGACATTGGCGATGTTCTACCGATGAAAGACCACTCCCATGCCTGCTAGACGATGGAAAGAAACACTTCTATATTCCACGTCATGGCACCTTCAGCAGTACTCCAGTGCTTTAGATCTCGTCCAAAACTCGCACTTCTGCGGGCCGCCATGTCCACCGCCTCTACAACAAAGACACTCCCTCTATTTTGTCCCGCCCATAGTTAGGGGTACATGCTGCAGAATCTGGTGTTTGGTAGATCTATTCAAGATCATGGAGATACGATCTCTTAGAGTTCTTCGTTCCCCTGAACAATCATTGCAGGGTGTCGATCTCATGCAGAAGGCGACTTTCCAGAGATGGAGTGTCAGGGCGTTGTTAGAGCAGAGTGAAGAGGTCTTCCACACGTGGTCCGCAGATAGATAGAAGGTAGGTAGGGGGTCGGAATACATCTGAATTCTGGTCCTCCGCAGCTTGGAGGGCCCTCCGCAGCCTATATATGCGTTTCTCGTAGCCCTTACGTAGCCCTTAGCCCCTGACCGACCCCCTACTGGCGACTCCGCAGGGGAACCCGCAGGGTCTCCTGACATGGAGACGTCCCGAGTCTTCCTCAGAGTCTTTCCATCACCATCTACCGCCTCCGCAAAAAACACCGAGCTTTCCAAGTCATGTATTCCTTGGAGCCTGATCTTGGTCTCGAATCCATCCCTCTGAGCCTTACCCACCAACACAGCGGACTCACCAGTCGAAGGACGGGAGTACACTCGCCATGTTTTGGTCTCCGTATCTCCATTCCACGATATATTGATATCCAAGAAAGTCAAAGTTGACTCACGAGAAACGAAGGTCGCGATAGCAGGTTCTTCGGCAGGGATGGCCGTCCAATTGGCGCGGAATCCACGATAACTTTGCACGAACCTGGAGACTGGTGCCGAGTCCAGGTAAGCGTGAAAAAAGACCTGCCCGCCGTGACTGAATTTATGTCACGGCACCAGCTTCACCCCAGTCGACAAACACGTTGCCATTCGGAAATAACTGCACGCTGCCTTGAGTGCGTGCCGACAAGCCATCAGGGGCGTCGTACGTGCGGAGTGACGTAGCTACGCCGCTCGTGTGGTTCAGCTGAACGACGCGAGCGCGTGAGTAAGGGCGAATCTGGACTGGGGCCGAGTGTGCGCCATTGTCGAAGAAAGAGATGGTTTCGAGGCTTCCGTCTAAGGAACGGCCTCGGAAACGGGCGTGGTGTTCGAAGGCGAAGACCTCGGTTTCGGCGATCTCAAAGTCAGAACCACCGCGGTAGCCCCCAAGCTGCCATGTGACTTGTCCACTTGTGCCGTTGATCTTGAAAAACGCAGCTATGTTTCGCGCCGATAGGAAAGGCGCTCACTAAGATTGATGTGAGTCTCTTATATCGTCACAGGATATATCTATACCAAAGAACTTACACCTCGGATCGACATGGTCCAGACTTTTCCCACTCTAACAGCACGTCACCCGTCTCAATATTGACCCCTGTATTCATTTGGATTAGACAGACCAAAAGAGAGTGAGCCTTGAACGGAATTTCACACCTTGGAAGCCTCCAGAAACAATCCACCTCTGGTCATTCGAGCCTCCCCATGGCTTCAGGGAAATAATTCACGGAATCGGCGTCTCAATGAGCGCCGTCTTGCCGTCTACAACACGGAACTCATGTGCGGAAACCGACCTGTGAGAGCCAGCCCGGACAACCTTGGCAACCTCGTAGTCGTTGCCGAGAAGTGTGTGATGACCATACGTACGTCCATGAAGCCCATAAGAGTTCCTTGAAAGACGCGCAAGTACTGTTTGCCGTCCCAGGTCTCGGGACGAAAGTTGGCTCCCCAGCCTGCGTGGAAGCCTGTGCCCGACCAGACTAGCTCGCCGTCGTCGCGGATAATATAGGCACCCGGCTGAGTCGGGCCTTGGTGGCCTTCGGCGAAGCCCTCGTAAGGAGTGATGAAAATCAGACCTTTTTCTGTGGCATGGCCGTAGGCAGGGGTTCTGATGTTCAGCCTGGGGATGGCGAGTTCGGGGCGGGATCGGAATCGCAGATCTGCAGAGGCGACGTTGGCCAAAGCAGACAAAGCCCCGAGAGCATAGGCGTATTTGGGCTTCATGGTATCGTCAGCACGAGTCGGTTATTGAACAGAGAATAGTGCAGTGTTGCGTCCAGATCATTAGCGGAACTTGCTCTCAGCGCTGCACTCCGACCAAACAAGCCAAATATAGGTGTCGGATTTGGTTGTTTAGTCCGCCGAAATCGACGGATTTAGTTGTTTAGTCCTATTTGCAAATATTTAACTTATTTAGTTAGTAATAAAGCTATTACGATAGTCATTAGCCTACCTAAGACCTAGATTCTATCGTATTGAGACTATAAAGCTATTACGATAGTCATTCGCCTACCTAAGACCTAGATTCTATTGTATTGAGACTATTCGCTGCTATCGAGCCTTAAAATGAAGCGGTGATCTACTCGCCAGGGATGGTTTTAACGATAGATTTCTTCACACTTCTTTCTAGGTAAATGCCCCGGCCGAAGAGGGATCGAGTGGATTAATAAGCCAACCTGAAGGATGCTGGGCATGAATCCCCTCATTGCCAGACGCCTGAGTCACCTCGATAAGTGAAGTAGCACGCCATACCGAAACGGCTACAAAGCCATCTGCCCCTCTAAAACTCCCGGAAGCCACGCTCTCGCCGAAGTCGGTCCTGATACTGCAGTCTGCACACCTTGAGAGTGAGCGCCACGATGACGATGTTCCATCCATTCTCACGACTACCCGCTGAGCTGCGTCTTCACATCTGGAACCTCGCCGCCGAGCCTCGACGAGTGATGATACTCGGCATCAGCTGTTACTCGTACGAAGGCGGAGCAATGGTAGGCCACGAACTCTTCACATCTCGGACGCCCGTGCCAGCCGTCCTTCACGCTTGCTGCGAAGCACGACAGCTTCCCTCGTACCGCAAGGCTTTTGCCAGTCAGTTTGCCTCGGCACCTGAAAGTAGGCAAGACTACGTATGGGTCGATTTTGCCGCCGACACTATCCAGTGCAGCGAGAGCCTCGTATGGTTTTCGCCGGAGGAGAGGCCCCTGATCCGCCACTTGAGAATGGAGGTTTACAACCAGGAGGATTTTGAAGAGGAGGGAATGGCCATGATGAGGGAGCTCACAGCCCTGAAAAGTCTCGATATCTTGTATGGATATGACCTGAAACACTGGTTTGGAATGTATGACTGGGACTTTGGAGTCTGTTCAAAGAACCGGATCAGGCTGATCTCCTCAGTGACACAAGAGATCTGGGATGAGGCGAGATGCAGACAAGCCGGAAAGAAGCATCTCGAGGAGGTAGTCAGCGATGACCGTGGATCAACAGACTGATTATGAATCTGGCGAGTTTGGAATAGATCGAAACAAATACAGCCCTGTTCACAGGTATGTAGTCCAAGATTTTCCTATTGGTCGTAACCTTCATTCCGCTTTGCCTCATTCTGACTCTTGAATTGCATGGCAAGATACGGGTACAGGCCAGTGATGAGCTTTTCTGTAGCCTTGGCTCGGGAATCGACGAAAGGCCGCCTGACCGAATACAGGCCCTAATGAAGCTCAACACACAATTTATTTGCCTTCAAAGCCAGGGGCATCGCGATACCAGATAGAAATCTTGGCACTGACAGCCTTAAAAGAAGAGAATCTGTGTTACGCACTATGCAAGCAGGACTCAATCTTCCGGGTTGATAGGGACATCAGGAAGACAGTCCAATGGTGGGCGCAAGTCATGCCTCGAGCTTCCCTGATCGCGGAGCTCCGAGCTTCCCTGATCGCGGAGCTCCGAGCTTCCAGCTCCAAGCTTCATTTCGAGCTCCATGCCGAGGAAGCGTAAAGCGCACCGAGGCCACGGACGAGGGAGCACCAGGAACACGACAGATGACATGTCATTCAGCTGTCAGATGCAGCTTGTAGCCGCGAGATCAGACAGGGGATGCCGCTGTGTCCCACGTTGTGAGCACATTCATTTCGACTGGGAGAGTGGGTTGCAATGCCGGTTGTGCGATGATCGTTGTGTAATTGTGCCGTCATCGATTTCCAGCCGTCTTGGTGTTACAGAGCTGCGTGATTGGGTCGGAAATGGGCCCGGACGGGAGGTCGCAACAAACACTCCGGAACAAAGCCCGGTCGGGACAACTGCTTTCGCTATCCCCAGTGCTCAGACTTTCAGGAACCGGTAAGAATCTGGCGGAGAAGGATGTGCGCGGTCCATCCAGAGTCGTGGCCGTCATCAACGTTGCGACCAGGGGGAAAAGGTTCGTTGCATGGGCTTTTGTCCGACCCGGAGCTTTACTCCCGGGTCCGACACAACGGAAAGCTTGACTCAGTCTAGAACCGTCATCAACTGCCGCTTCGCCTCGGACCTCATGGGCGTAGCATCAAAGGTGGTACTTACCAAAATGGACGCGTCTTCACTGCGTCTTGACGGCGGATAGTGACTGATCCATGACGAGAGCCGACGTCCTCAGTGAGCTCACCACTTTCTAATCCCCGATGCCGAGAGGTTTGTCCTGCCGATTGTTCAGACGTAGTGCCGATGCATGGATCCGAATCTGGGAGCTCAACCTGATGGATCGGTGAGGGGCTGCCGGCCAGCGTCGAGTATAAGTAAGGTATGGTTTGTTCTCGAGAAGACCATGGCTTGAGGAGCGCCGACATCTCGATACCTGCATCTGACCATCTTCGTCTCCTGCATCACCACCACGACCACCATGACGAGGCTCATTCAAGGCGCCGGGCTCTTCGCCCTGGCCCGAGGCGCTCTTGCAGCGCCGTATGTGTCTGAGGCCCAGACAACTGTCAGCACCGAGGCGACCTTCACAAACCCAGCCATTCCCCACACCAACGTGACGTCCCATGGCCCGTACGAAGGCACGCCGACGACGACGGGCGCCCTGTCGACCAAGGTGCTCGCGCCATCGATCGAGCCCCTGCCTCCCGGCCCCGATGCTTACAAGTATCCCGCCGACGGTAAGCTGCATGGCGACCAGCCGGCACCGTACACCCCGTCCGGCGGCATCGGCACCAACGGATCGGCACCCGTCTACCGCGTCAACAGCGACTTCGACTACCAGTCCCTCTCATTGGCGCTCTTCCAGGAGTGGATTGAGCTCGACCTCTTCCACTGGGGTCTCGCCACCTTCTCCGAGGAGGAGTTCGAGGCCTATAACCTCACGGCCGAGGACCGTTACCTGCTCCAGTTCATGGCCGAGCAGGAAGTTGGCCACGCCACCGTCCTGACCAACATGCTGGGTCCCAACGCGCCCAAGCAGTGCACCTACAACTACCCCGTCTCCAACCTGCGCGAGTACCTCGACTTCAGCCAGAAGCTGACGCGCTGGGGCGAGTCGGGCGTCTACGGCTTCCTGCCGCACCTCAACTCGGGTCCGGCCGCGCAGATCCTGCTGCAGAGCATCACTACCGAGGCGCGCCAGCAGCTCATCTTCCGCCAGTTCAGCGGTCTGTTCCCCATGCCCGTGTGGTTCGAGGTCGGCATCCCGCAGTCTTGGGCCTGGACCCTGCTGGCGCCGTACATCTCGAGTTGCCCGGCCGACACCCAGCGCCTCATCTGGCAAAACTTCCCGTCACTGCACGTCCTTAACCAGCCGAATCCGGCCCGCGTCGACGGCGCCAACGTCTGGAACGAGACGACGGGCGGCTACGCCAACACGCTATCGACGGCTGACATTGAACCCGAGGACGCCTGCATCAACGCCACTGAGGTCGGCGAGTTCTGCGGTGCCGCCATCTCCCGCAACCGCACCACACCGCTCTCCTACCCGGGCCGCCAGGTCTTTCTGCAGTGGGACGCTCCTGGTTCTCCCGTCGGTCCCAACAACAGCTACATCACGGCGACCGAGGTGCATGAGCCCAAGTTCGCCGCCTGGGTGTCGCAGCTCAACGTCACCTACTCGCCCCTGCTGAACGTCAGCCTCGAGGACCGCACGGCGTACACCATTCAGCCCAACGTTTCGACCATTGAGGGCGATCCAGCCCTCAATGGCACCCTGTTCCTCGCGCTGACGGACGAGCCGCTCTACGTGACGCCTTACAACCTGACGCAGATCAACCCACACGTTGCCGCCCTGGCTCTGTACCAGGCTGGCTGAAGAAGAAGGTGTAATAATCAGAGTTGTTTTTGGGCGTACCTAGAATGCCATTAGTCTGAACGCTTGTATGACAATCGCGAATGGGGGTGCATCATGTAGAGATACACATTTAATGTCAAAACCTTGATCCTTGGACCTTGTACTACCCGTCTTGAGATGTGATCATTTTCTGCGCCTTGACATGCAGCTCATCACCTACCGTTTTACCCAATCTCATTGCCCAACTTGTTCGGTCTGTATCCACACAACTCTCTGGTATCCAGGGTGTGGAGGACTTTCTGAGGGTTGCAATGAAGCACCATGACGTCTTGTCGGTCCAAAAGTGCGGGACTCGCCTCGTGTATTGTTGATCTATGTCTCAATCCTTTTTTTGTTCACGTCGTTTGAGCCCAACTGCTTCGTAGTCTTGCGTTCCGTTTGGTAGGTGATCGTCGTGTCCCGAGCGAGCTTACAGCTCGTTGTGCTCCTGGTTGTCGTCGGTACCGTCAGCGACAACCGTCTTAACAGCCTCGGCCGCCTCGCCAACGACGCTGGCCACCTTCTGGGCGATCCCTTCGGCCGCCTCCTCAGCCTTCTCCTTCACCTCCTCCTTGGCTTCCTCCTCCTTGGGCAGCTTGACAACGATCTTCTCGGGCTTCTCAACGCCTTCGATGCCCATGAGCTCCGTCTCGAAGACTGGCGTGTGACGCTTTCGTTAGCCGGGCGAAACTGCATGCGGGGGAGTAATGTTGCCGCTTTCCCGACGAGGAACCAGGGCGGGGCCTGCTGCTGTTGCTCGTCGGGTAAAAGGGCAGAAGGAGGGGGTGTCATACTCAGCGTCGCGCCGCCGGGAATGGGACCCATGCCGCGGGGACCGTAGCCCATGTCAGAGGGGATGGTCAGCGTCCTCTTCTCGCCAATGCACATGTCCAGAAGACCCTCCTCCCAGCTGTCATGTCCTGTCTGTCAGTCGTTTCGTTCTCTTCCATGCCACCAACGGCAACGGGGGTGTGAAAGGTAGGGGAAGCGCGGATCGACGAACCCCTTGATGACCTGACCGGCGCCAATCTTGACGTTGAAGGGCTGGCCGCGGTTGTAGCCTGCGCGATCGGAGATTGTCAGTTCATCCATCATTCCCTAACCCAGTCCTGGCAGTTCGCCTCGCTGGTCCAGTCCCAAGCCTCTTGCCGCCGAATCGGGAAATTGGAGTCGCCCTGCTATCTGCTCTTCCTATCCCTAGGTCTTTTCAATATAAATTAAATACTGTCTTCAACTTCCCCTTTTCTATCTCTCCCCCGGGGGGGGGGGGGGGGGGGGGCGCCAGCTGGGCAAAAACAAGGGGCAACGGTCACGCACTGGCATCGAACTCCTTGCCGCCGTCTTGCAGGCTGCCGCGGTAGTGTACACTGATGCGGTCGCCCTTGACGGTCTTGCGCTCGCACTCGACCTCGAGCGTCTTGTCGATCTTCAGGCCGTCGGCGGCGACGAAGCTGAATGCTGTGGAGGCCAGCAGGCCAAAAGAAAGGAGGGCACCCTGCATGGTTGCTGTGGGTGTAATCGGTCGTCGGAAGGGGAGATGAGTGGGTTTCGGGTTGGGGCGACGGGGTTCAGGAAGTCGTAGGAAAAACGAGGCTGTCTTTTGATGTCGTGATGGATTGGAGGAGGACAGGTGTTGGTTGATTAGTAGCAACGTCGCCTACTGAGGGTCGTTGTGAGGAATGGCGGGGCTGGAGAGCCCAAAACGGGAAGGAGTGCCGCCAAGTGTGGTTTCCCCACGTCTCACCGCCTTGTATTCTCGATTGACCAATGACGGCGGTTGAAGGCTGCTCCAATTATCCGTCGCCCGATTCAGGGTTGGTCCACAATTCCATTAAGGGTTCTTATCTCTTATCAGGAGCAGTCAAGCTCTGACGTCAGCATCCCTCACCACTCAATTCGTCCATCTCATCAGCGTGCTGTCACTTGGTAGCAGCTCTGCCTAGGCTGGAGATAGTCCGCGTGATCAGGGACAGGATGGAATAGCTCCTCGTGAGGCCATCACCTGACACCTTCGCCTTGCCAATTCGACCCGGCACTGGGCGTGGCCGAGAAACTGCTGTTTTTTTATCTGTCTCGTGGCAGAAAGATTGCCTGATCTCGTGGCGATTGAGGCCTCACCGAGAAGTATCCCAATACTTCACATGCAACTCTTCCTCATCTGAAATCTGAGTCAAAATATCGCCCAATTCGCTGGCGAGATGCCTTACTCTGCTTCCGACGACCTGCCCAGCCGACGTGCCCATGACCCCCCAACTCGAGCATCCCCGTCCGATCAACAACACCAGGCTGCACTTAACTGAAAGGGCGAGGCGATTGGCTCCACGGTTGACAGCGGCACGAGACCCACACGGGCAACAGCCAGCGAAACGGACAACAAGCCAGACGCACAACAACCAGGCGACCGGAGCCTCAGACCGAGGAGCCTCAGACCGAGGGTGTCTTGAGTCTCTTGCGTATGAGTGCTCTGTTCCTTGCCAGGCATGTCTCTGACGCCCCAGTCGGCCCAATTGGGATTCTGTCCTGCCAGCCAGATATAGTCCGATTCTAGGCACTTCAGAAGCAACCGTCCTGCCTGCAGGGTTGAACCACACGGCATGCAGGTTTACAAACCGGCATGCAGCAAGCCGACAGTCATCGTCCGAGTGGCCCGCGCGATTGGGCCTCATGCTACTGCAAGACGGACGACACGCTGACGCTGCCGTACTAGCTTGCATGGCTGCCGTGTGTGGTCAAGGGATGAAGGGCACAGCTCCATGTTTGACAGCCGAACTCTACCCCCCGGTCGCCCACGCCATCAATCGTGGACTGACCATCATCGGATGGTCCCGTCGAGTGGCTCTTCGCTTGCTTGCTTTCTGTCTGTTCTCCGGTGAGACAAAAATTTTCACTTGGTTTGTTTTTTCCACACCCCATCCCCTCTCCTCTCTGTCTTTTTTTCTTGCTAGACGTAAGAAAAAAAGGACTTTCAGGCGTCCTCGTTGGGCATCGATGAGTCAGGGGCCACCCATGCCTCGAGGTGTGACTTGGAAATTGTCCCCAGGGGCGACAAAGAGCCCAAACCCCCCAAAGGCATTGGAATGGAAATTCCCCCAACGAGCCATATCAGCCGCGCTGGCGGAGCCACCATAGTCGTCCGAAAGGGGACGTAGCGCTGAGGGCGCTTGAGGTAACCAACCAGGACAGCAATCCTGTCAGGAAGGGCCAGGTGACTGGTTGAGGCCACCCGAGACGGACAAACGGACAAAGGGTCAAGAAGACGAGTGACTGCAAAGCATTCGGCAGTGTAGTTTCAATGTTCAGCTTGGCTTGGCCACGAGGCTGTCTCTAGGCAGAGGAGCGACTCGAGTAGGCAGCAAGATTCTTCCGCTCCGCTCGACTCGTTCAGACCGTCTGTACGTGGTGTTGTCTCCCTGGTTGTCTAGCAAGTCTAGGTATTGACGAGAAAGGTACTTCACCTGGGTACGGTGCGCAGTGGGACTTGGCGACGGCTGTTCAGATCGGGCACCTCGACCCCGGGCAGGGCCGTCAGCACACCTCGCAGGGCAGGCCCATAGCGGTACTGCCCCTGGAAGCGCACCGCGCTTAACGGCCCCTCCAGGCTTGCCAGGTAAGGTAAGTCACTGGGGAAGCTTAGGAGGCAAGACACTGGAGCCGTCACAATTGACTTGCCGATCCCTAAAAACAGGCTGCCCACTCCACTCTTCAAGACACTGCCGCGCCCACCCATTACATCGTCCCCAGCCAACAGCCCTGGCTTTTCCTGTTTCCTTGTCCCAGATTCAAGCTCCGTCCTCCCGCCTTGTTTGGCTGCATCGTATTCCGTCCCAGAGGTACCCCAAAGTCACCTCGAGATTCGCCACCTCCGACTTGCGACGAATATGGCACCTCCCTTACGACCTCTCGTCCCTCTCACGCCCATCGCCTCCCTCAGTTAGCGGCTTTCGTGCCTGACGGAACGGAGAATGACAGACCCTGCATTCGCACTGGAATTGCCAAACGTGCCCAACACGAGCCAATGGGTGCCCTATGTCGCCCTTTTCGGTGTGTGCCTCTGCGGCGACCCCACCCGCTTGGATTCCAAACCTGGGTGTCCCTGTCTTGACGTTCACAGGCAGACGGACAGACTCCTTTGTTCCCAGAAAGGGGGGGGTCAGGGGAGTTGGGTCGTCGTCGTCGTCGTCGTCGTGATGATGGCGGGTGTTTCTGAGGCCGCGGCGGGGACACCCATGCCTATGCCTATGGGGCTGGTTTGTAGAGTTTCGGGTTTTTGGCAACCTTTTCCCTCCCTCTCTCTCTCACTCAATGTCTTCGGTCTGACAATTGTATCTTGTATCTACCTTGCGCTTGCCTTGTCTTTGTCCCTGTCGGAGGAGTGATGCCCCCCCCCCTCCCCACACCCCCTCCACCCCCCTCCTCACCCCTTCTGCTTGGGTGGTGCTGATTGAGGTCCACGCGTACGAGCCTACTTGAGGGGTGAGGGCGCCCGGCGCGATGTTTGCGGCCTTGACTTTTTTCCTTTCTATATATAATCCTCAACCTGCTTCCAGTTTCCTGGTCTGATCTTTTTGTTGTTCATCGGCTCTCGTCTACAAGCACTCTCACATACAAACACACGTACACACAAACACGGATATACAGATCTACCCGGCTCCAACTACACATCAACACCACGTACACACAGCCAAAAAGACATCCGCGGTATCACACCAAAGCACCTGTCACCAAAGACCAACAGAGAAAAAACCTTTGCAAACCCTCGCAAGCAAACAAACTCGGCTGTCACACTTGCACACTATCCAAAAATCCACAAACAAGAACAACATGTCGCGCTACAACTACACCAACAGCCCCGTCATCCACCAGGGCGCGGCCTCGATCCGCTCCTCGGCCTCCTACTCCACGACCTACTCGGGACAGAGCAGCCCAAGCAGCTACCGCTCCTACTCTCCCGCCGAGACGATCCGCGAGCAGCAGTACGCGGGCGCCTCGAAGGGCAGCGGCGTCGTCGTCCACAACGGCTACAGCGGCCACCATGACCAGCGCTACGACCCCACGCCCAAGTACAGCAACCCGAACCTGGCGAAGCGCAAGAGCTAGGCGTTCTTTTCCGTCTGCTCTTTTGAATCTATCACGGACTTTTGCCACAACATCATGTACTTGGAGGGCATTCACTGGCGTTTTTTTTCCCTCTCTTTTTTTCTTTTGTTACTAGTAGGGGGACAGGATATCCGACATGGCATGGGCACAGAAACGACGGTGTACGGAATTATGTCACCATGGCATTGGTTTGGGAGTCGAAAATTCACACGTTGCAGTCTACGAAGGAATTGGAACCGGGCTGGGCCTCTCATGTCCATTGAACGGGCGACTGTCTGTACCACGGGCGTTAGGTTGAAACTGGGGCAGGAAATCAGGTTGTGGTACCACTACATGTAAACTGTACACTTTTCGTGGTCTCGAATTCCATAGACAGCCTACCTTAGCTTATTCAAACTTTTTCTCGTCTTGTTTCACTTTTCCAGCCCCCATCTTTGCACACACATAAATGGGAAGTCAATATTCTTGGGAATTGTTCATGGGGGGGTCGAGACCACCCCCTTTTCCATCGTCGCGAGTGACGCACATGTAATGCACGTCCGGGTTGCGTTGCTGACCGCGTCCGATGACTGGCTGCTGCCAGGCACGCCAATGGCCGGGCCGCACGGGAGGTGCGGCCGCTGCCTGTGATGTGACTCTCGGTTTGCAAAATGTGCAGATTTTTTATGACTTCATTCTATTCTCGTGTCTATTGTTGCCCTCTCGACACCATCCTGGTGGGAGACGTAGCTGATCGTTGGAATGGCGAAGAAATGCACCTTTTCGTCGTCATGGACGTGGGGAAGTGTTGCGCCGTCCCAAGCTGGGCGCGCGGCGGGCAATGATACGAGGTTCCCACAATGTTACCATTGCATCTTCTCAACAGCTGTTATGTGGAGAAAGCCAGCTGCGGTGGACATGTATTCGTATTCTTTTTTTGTCTTTTTCTTTCGTGCAGGATATCTGGTGAGTTGTTGAGGGAGAGGAAACGTGAAAAAAATGTTTATTGTACTTGAATTATTCTCCAGTGTACGCGTGTCGTTGGGAGGCAGCCTGGCGTTGCATTGCCAACCGGGAACCCCCAGTCACGCATGTAAGAAGTAACTACATGCACACTGGAAGCTTGCAGCCTTATCATGAGGTCCCGTCGAATATAGGTCCGGGAACTCGTTGAGGGAGTTCGCTGGCGTCGGTGATCTTCCCGCTGAGCCGCCCGCCTGTAACACCACGACGGCTGCCTCCACAGGGCCACGCACACGCAGCATATCCCCGACGACCTCCACCTGCTTCTGTAGAAGTGAAGTGATATAGCAACAATTCGTGATGCACTCGATAGTTGCGAGGTGACAATTGTTCGATGCATTGCCTCCGGCACGACCGGAGTAAGACGGCGCTCCACTTCTGCCACTTGCGCAGGTGCCGTAGCGGGGCTGATGGGCAAGTACTCGTCCCTGGCTCCATGTCTTGTTGCATGTTCATACTGAAATGTGCTGGCAAGGTGTGAATGTAGTTGTCGCTGCCGCAAACTCTATGCCTGAGTTCTACACATCATCACTGCAGCCACCGTTATCAACAACGTTTCCAGCAGGCATTTCTTTTTCGAGCCGCCACCGTTGCTTGCTCACCTCGTTGCAGGTTACAAGCCAGCCACCTGCGTTGAGACGATCAGCCATACCAGCCCTGTGAGGCTCTGTTGGAGCCTCGTTGTGGCTATCCCCTCCATCCATGAGGCGCAGTTTATGGTCAGTTGGAAGGCGGCGTCACAGGTCAGGCTCACAAGAGTAGGCTGTGCCAATAGGGTTCGGCCAGGACACAATATTGATGAAATGTGAATCCAGCCTCGCACTGGGCAGATCGCTGCCTGGACGATCGAGTTCTGAATGTCAGGAGCTTACCCTCTCGACAGGCCGAGCCCTTACTTCCACCATAGCCGGCGAGCTTCCACCGTGGATGAGGCAGCAGGGTGGTTCGCTCAATTGAACACTGCACCGGCGCCTGCTCATCTGGCGTGAGTCAAGGTCAACTTGTGATCGCACTATGGGCAAGTCGTCAGTCGTCCATCCTTGCTTCTGGGTTGGGTAGCTACTCACCACCGCCGGGCGACAGGTGCACCAGTCCTCGGGTGCTTTTGCAGGTACGTCGCTGTAAAGACCGGTGTGTTGGCAGGTACAGAGAGCGAAGTCAGCAATCAGACCACCGCACACGCGACACATGATGAACGCCGCAAACAGCCCACGCAGAAGAAAAATGCAACAACCCGTTGCAACGGAGCGTCATATTGTGTGAATACGCAATTGATAAATCCAACCCCAAAACACCATTCCCAGCCATTCAATCCTCGACCATCATAGATGGCCCCCCGCGCTGACAGAGCACGTAGTTAAGCACCGCCCTCCCTCTTGGCATACTCCTCCTCAATGGCCTCCTCGTACTTCTCGTCGGCGGACCGCGGGTCCTCGTGCAGCACGCCGTCCTTGATGAGCGTCTCGGGCGTGGGGCGGTGGGAGATCTTGTCGTTGAGCGAGTCGGCGCGCATGTGCTTCTCGAGCTCCTTCTGCTGGGCCTGCAGCGAGGGCGCGGCGTGGGAGGAGGGGAGGATGTTCTTCTCGACGAGCTCCTCGCGGGCCGGGCGGTGCAGCAGGTGGTTCTCCAGCGAGTTCTTGCGGTCGGAGGCGCCGGGGCGCGTCGGGGAGATGGGCGTGTCGTCGACGGGCTTGGTCTGTTCGGCCATTTTTGTGACGGGGGGCTTGTCTCTCTTGAAAATCAAAGGTGATTTGCTACGTCTGGTAAGTTGGAGTGTATCGGCGTGGCTTTGTTGGTGTTGTCAGGTTGAATGAAGTGGGGAGGGGAAGGCGTGAGGGGGAGGGGGACAGCATGGCCGTATTTGTAGCGACGGCTGGAATGAGGTCACAGGTTGGCCCCCTTTGCATCCCCGGCGAACACAGGCATTGGCGGGCATTGGCAGGACAATCAATCAGGTGTAGCCAGTCAGCTGTCCCTGTTCTTGTTCATCAGAAGCTAAAAAAGCTGCTGCTGCTCATGCTTGGGGGAGCTCGAGCTCCTCCTGCAACGAGCTGACCTCTTTCCTGTTCCTTTCGCTTGCCCCCCTCTTTCCCATGCCGTCGCATTCCGCGACATGGTGCGAAACCCATTGAGCTTCACCATCCATCGTTCCCACCCAAGCATCCCATTGACACTCGGCGATTTCCATGCAACCTCCCTGCTACGTCCCCTACGACGCCTCTTGTCCGCTCGGAGAGCGGGGAGGTCTTCGTCGGAGGTTCAGCCAGCAGCCACCAACCCGTTCACGTCGCTCCCACCCTGACGCCTCTCGTCGACCCTATAGGGCCGGGAGGTTTTCGCCAGGGCAAGGCCAACGGTGACATTCCCCCCACGATGCATTGATGCATCTCGTCCTCGAGTGTCCATGTCCTCCGCCGGACCACTCTCCCAGTATCAGCCGCGTGTCGACGATAGCCCCAGCAGGTCCCTTTCGTCTCTCGCGAGACGAAGGGAGGCCGGTATTCCTTTGGCCTCGGACGCTAGCACTCAACCCTTGATAGCCCCAGCTTGTCGTCCCAAAAGGGCGAGGCTGGTATTCGGTAGGCCTCAAGGGGTGCCAGCTGCGGCTGATGGTTTGCCTTTGGTGCTTGTTTGCTCGTCGGGTTTGATCGTCAGGACCGATGAGCATCGTGAGCTTTGCTTGCTTTGCTTTGGTCTTGGAGCTCTGAGCTCCAGCGCTTGTTCAGTGGGTGAGTGGAGCAATGGGCGGCAATGCAGGGCGCTGGAGTACCCCGCAATCGTCATCGGCCAGCTAGGGTCAGCCCAGGAAGCGGCGCCCACGGCCGAATCGCGTCTTTCCTGCTTGAATCCCTGCCGCGCCGGGCTGCGCTTGCCTCATCGTGTGTGAGTGGAGAGCAAGAGCTTCCCGATCGATGATGCAATGGGCACTGCCGGGTGTTCCTGAGCCTCAGGTTCCTCTTGCATGGCAAGATGGCAACAACAAAGTTGTGAACAGAGTTTTCTTCACACCGTTCAGGATGGCTACCAGGCCACCGACGCCTGTGCACAATGTCGTGATCAGAGCAAAATGCCAGCCGCTTTCGAGCTGTCAGCAGACAAATTCGATGCCATGAGCGTGGAGCGTGGGGTCAGCTTACGAAGCGCGATCCTTGTTTTGCTCTCCATGGCGCATGCAGACTTGTGTTGAATCGTACAATCGTGGGCAAGCGCCCTGCTTTTACTGTTTTACACATAACGTGCATTAGGAGGGCCTCCGACGCCCTGAAGAGTTCTATGCTCCGCCAATCGAGCACGGCATTCGTCTGATCGGCTCGCTATCGTCGAATAAGCTTAATAGCAAGGCGTTCTTTTTGATCTTTTTTTTTTGTTGTGTTTTCGGTGGTGTGTGGAGGCATTTCTTCTCAAAATTGCGGTTCCATGCTGCCATCCGACCCCCGTGGGATGAAGCAGCAGGCCAAATTGGAATGCCCTTTTTGGTGGTTGAACAATGGGATGACAGGACGAACATGAAGGAAACACAGACCAGGAAAAAAGGGAAAAACGTTGAAACAGGCGCGAAATCAAAAACCGCAGACTTCAAACACCAGAGGCAACGTACCACCCCCACGCCTCAACAATCTCTTCATCGGGCTCGAGTCGGATCATGTTGGGGAACAGAGGCCGTCCCTCAAAATCAGCATACATATCGTACACGGACCTCGCCTGGCCCGGGTCGTCAATGTCCACTGTACGAAACTCGATCTGCGCCTGCTCAACCATGTCGTCGAGAATTTGCCGGAACTCAGCCGCCAGCCTGAAGGCCTTGATGAGATCGAGCCTCGCCAGCTTCCACGAGCGAAGGCTGTTCGCCCAGGGCCGAAGCATCTGGGCGACCTCCATGCCGACAGTCTCGCCACGCACAACCGGGCCGTCCCGCGGCTGCGAGTGCGGCTCCAAGACCTCCGTCAGCAGGATGTGCCCAACCTTGCTCATGACGCGGTAGAGAACGTCGTCGGCCGTCTCGTCTTCGCCAATCTCTTGGGTGCACTCGGCAAGCCAATCGGCGATCATGAACTGCCTCATTTCGGGCTCCCAGACGGCGGCCTTGTCTCCGAAACGGTCGACGCCGTCGTGGTTGCCCGCCCACCTGAAGCGCTTCGAGTCGAGGGTGCCGTCCAGAAGCTTAATGAGGTTCTTGTACGTGTTCACCCTGATCATTTCTTCCGGCGACCTGTCATCGTCCTCCGAGGAATCCGAGTCATCGTCGGAACTTTCCTCTTCTTCTTCTTCTTCTTCCTCTTCTTCGTCCTCGTCATCTGCGGCACTGGCAGATTCGGCGGTCGTGGGTGCTGGCACGGGGACGGAGACAGGGGAGGGAGGCTGAAGGGGAGGGGGGACTCCACCAAAGACCGGCCCGGCCTGCTCGCTTCCGAAGAAGGGAGGGGCACCAGGTACGCTCATGGCGAAGTCAAAAACCCCTCCGGACCCAATAGGGGAAGGGGACGGGGGAGACGGGGGAGACGGGGGAGGCAGGAAGAGGGAGGGGGACGGGGGAAGGGGGACTTCACCAAAAACCGGCCCGGCCTGCTCGCTTCCGAAGAAGGGAGGGGCACCAGGTACGCTCATGGCGAAGTCAGAGACCCCTCCTGACCCAATAGGGGAAGGAGACGGGGGAGGCAGGAGGAGGGAGGGAGACGGGGGAGCAGCGAGTGCTTCGCCTGGCGCCGGCCCGGCCTGCTCACTTCCGAAGAAAGGAGGGGCACCAGGCACGGCCACGGCGAAGTCGAATGAATAGGTCACTCGCGGCTCTATCGTCCCAGAGATCCCGTGTACGGCCGCGGCAGACTCGGGGAATGAAATGGGCTCCCTGTTGGGAGCCGGCATGACAAACGAGAAGATATCCGAATTCTCGGGTCTCTGTTGTTGTTGCTGCTGTTGCACTTCCTGCTGTCTGGTAGCCTCCCAGCGATCAGCCTCCTCTTGGGCGTCCTGCTCGAAGGCCTCCAGAATGGCAGCTTCCAGGAGTGCTGCCTGTTCTTCTTCCTCCTGCTGCTTTTGCCGTTGCTGCAACTCCTGCAACTGCTGCTGCTCCTGCAACTGCTGCTGCTCTCGCTGCTGTTGTTGCTGGTCGAGAAGCTTTTGCGCCTGACGGGCCGTCTGCTCCTCGAACCAGAGCTGCATATGCTGCTTGTTCAGTAGCTGCTGCTGCTCCTCCTGTTCTTGCTGCTGCAGCCTCTGCTGCGCCTCGTACACTTCCTGTTGCAGTCTCTGCTGCTCCTCTTGTTCTTGCTGCTGCAGTCTTTGCTGATCCTCGTACAGTTCCTGCTCCCGCTGCTTCTGGGCTTCCTAGGCCGCATCCACAGCTTCGACAGGATCGGCGACGGGAACCGTAGGTAGAATCACATCCATCTGACCGACTGGCGAGGCCGGCACGGAGTCGGATGGCAGAGAAGGGAGGTCGTCGGGCAGCATCCCGAGGGGTTCAACTGTAAGGGAAGGGAGGGCAGGTATGGGTAACATTCCCAAGAAAGCGGTCTCAGTGTTGCCGGGGACAGAGACGGGGGCGAAGACGGGGGAGGCCGGACAGGCGACGGATAACGTTCCCAAGCATGGAGAGGAGGGAGGAGCGGCGACGATGGGTAACGTTCCCAAGCATGGAGAGGAAGGAGGAGCGGCGGCAACGGGTAACGTTCCCAAGCATGGAGCGGAAGGAGGAGGAAAGACGATGGAGGCGATGTCGGCAGAAGGTACGGGTAACGTTCCCAAGCGAGAGACGGCATCATCAGTCGAGTCGAGGTGGCAGCGGACGCGAGGCGAGGACGGAGGAGAGCTGCCGAGGGAGAGCAAGGCCGACTGAGAAGCCAGCGGAGGAGAGGAGGGCGCGACGACGTCAGGGGCGTCGATGGAGAGAGAGGAGAGGTCGGTGACCAGCTGGGTGTCCCGGAGAGCCTCGATCTGCTCGGACGAGAGGTGGGTGCCGACGGTGACGGCCAAAGCCTTGTCGTTGGCGTACAACCCCTCGTACATGAGCTGCTGCTTTGCCTGTAGCGCAGCTGCCGTCTCTTCGAGGGCGAGGAAGTCGTTGGGGGCGCCAAGAGATGTGACAGCCGTCTCAAATTGAGCCAGAACCTGGGATGGTCAGTTGTGAACTAGGGGTGAAACATTGGACGATCATGACGACGAGATGGAGGTGAGAAGGAAGAAGAGAAATGCTCAAGGAAGAAGAGAGGAGAGATGAAGGAACAGGAGATTTCAGACATACCGACACATCCTCGTTGCCAAAAGTGGTCTGGATGACATTCTGCATCTTGGCCATGATGCCCTTGATCAGCTTCTCGGCGACCGACACCATGGAGATGACCTCGATGGTGGGCTGGACGCAGGCGGTATGGAGGTTGAGGGCCGACGCGGCGATGGCGAGCTCAGACGCGGACGCCGAGGGCGCCGAGGCCACGGCGGCATAGGTGGGAAGGAGGTCGTGGGAAGACATTGTGGGTTATGCACAGATGTCGAGGGAACCGGGTGATGAAAGTAAAATTGAGGGAGTATCAAAAGAAAGGGTTCAGGGCGATGGCGACGATGAAGATGCGGAAACGTGGTTGGGAGCGAAAACTTTGTCGGAAACGATATCTCTGTTGCTGGGAAGCGGGCGATATAAAGTGGCGGACGAAGTTGAAGGGGAGAAAAAGGGAAACTATAGTTTTCGGGAAGCAAAAGGTTGGATGGGACTCGGAGGTCGGGGCCAGGGCAGGAACGGAGTCGCAGGCAAGAACGGAGTCGCAGGCAGCTTCATTCACTGATTCTAGGGTTGTATGGGACGCGCCTAGTCATCGAGACTCTCTCTAGGACAGGGCCTCGTATATTTTAGCACTGGGTCAGAGAGGAACAAAGCGAGAATCTGATCAACGCCTACGTTCTCCTTTGAAAAGAAGGGAATACTGTCTTGACGTATGAGTACAAGCCCATTGGTAAACTAGCTACCGAGGCATAGTCTCAACCCAGCGACCTAGCCACGTATAACCTGTGATAATTGTTTTGGAAGGAGCGCATACTGTGACTCGAAGCTGTTTTGCTCCAGAGGAAGGAGCGGCAAAGGTTTGCCTCAGGGAGACTTGGTATTGCTCGGTTGGGCGACCCATTACAGTCTGGGGTGCAACCATGCATCACATCTTGAGATGTACAAAGAGTCACGATAACATGGCCATTTGGAGTGTTGATGACTGGGTATTCCTTACTGTTGAGATGGTGATAATACGTCCGGCAGCCTAGATTGTCAGTCATGCACTCATATCTTGCAAATAGGCTAGATCTGATAGATCGTCACATGTCATTCATCATGTTCGTCGCAAGTTGATCTAGAGGTTGATCTGGAACACTATGCAAACAAGCTGCGTCCTCCATGGATCTGAACCAGAAGAAATGGCATCCCCGAGAACATGACATCACATCAAACAAATCATCAAAAGGCCTGAATCAGCCTGCATTTCTCACCTTGGCTGTCACCATCAGCGGCCCCTTGAGATCACTGACCCCAACACTGAACATCTCAGGCAGCTTCCCGCGGAACCCACCGCGGGCCGCCACCTGCCGCTCCTCTGCGTTCGCCATCTCAAACTCAAACTCGCGCAGCAACGTGGCGGCGAGCTTGTAAATGTTGCTCAGCGCCAGCGTCTTGCCGATGCACTGTCGGCTGCCGAGGCCGAAGTGCATCATGTAGCGGGCACGGGCGGCCGTGGCGTCGTCATCCCAGCGCGAGGGGTCGAAGACGTCGTGGTCATCGCCCCAGACGCGCGGGTTGTGGTGGAAGGCGTGGCCGCAGACAGCGACGTCCATCTGGTGCCATTGATGTTAATGAAGACTGTTGCCAATCTCAACAGCCTTGACATGCAGGTCAAGGGGCATACATACCCCCTGCTGGATGTGGCGGCCGCTGATGAACACGCCCTCGGGCTCCATGACGCGGCGCTCTAGCGGCATGGTGAAGACGGGCGTCAGGCGAAAGTTTTCACGCACGCAGGCGCGGAGGTACGGGAGGTGAGTCTCGACCTGTGTGATGCTGTACGCGGGCCTGTCGTCATCTAAGGGCGGGAGACTGTCGCTGACCTCGCGCGCACACGCTGCCAGGGCCTCTGGGTTGCGCAGGAGGTTGGAAAAGAGCAGAGTGGCCGTGGCGCTGGTGCTATGCGTGCCTGCAGCGCTGAGAGTAGGGGATGAGTCCCATCATGTCAGATGCGTCTGGCCTCGTGTCTCATTTGAGAGTGCTTTGGGGGGCATGGGACTCACAGCAATCCGAACGCCTCGGCCTCGAGGTCGATCCTCGGCATGTGCTCGCCCGTATCGGGATGCTTCGCCTGGATCAGTCTCGTCAGGATGTCTGGTCTGTGGCCCGCGCCCTGCTCCTTGACCTGTCCCAGGCGGCGCTCGACGCACTCGGACGCCAGCTGCGTGACCTCAGCGCGGCTTCGGAAGAGATCTTGCAGTCCGGCGTGCGGCACCAGGGGAAGCCACCGCTTCAACCTTTGGGTCATGGACGGCCAGGCGCCCGTAACGGACCCGAGTAGCGTGTGCGGCACAACGCGCGGCACCAGCGACTCGTCGTGCGAGACCTGCACGCCAAAGGAACGGCTGAAGGCGAGCTCGCCGATGACATCGATGGTGTAGTAGTGGAAGAGCTTCTTGAGGTCAAAGGGACGCCCGTCTCGCGCGAAGCCGTCGATCCGATGCCGCAGGAGCTTGACGTTGGCGTCGAGATAGTGCTCCATTTCCTTGACGCTGCTAATGGAGAAGCCGTGCGACATGTGGCGGCGGTGGACGGCATGGCGCTTCGAGGCAACGCCCGGACTGTTAGCAAAAGCGACATCACGATGACTGTCATGGCCGCCCCACACTGGCGGGACTCACGTCGTCAGATCTCATTCCGAAGAGATTGGGCTTTTTGCCACCGAAAGCTTCGTAGAATTCTGTCTTGGGGAACCGACGGCCACCCTTCTGGTAGATGATGGGCACGGCCTCCTTGGCCGTAATGCTGAGCTTGTTGGGCCCATAACGCACAAACTCGCCATACCTCTCGTGGAGCTGGGTCAGGGTGTATGGCTGTTGCAAGGTGAGGTACTGCTGAACCTGCCAGAGATCTGTGAGAGATGCCAGTAGCGGGCCGGGATAGCCCGCCAGCGGGTGAAGGAATTGCTGGTACACGATGTAGGCGACCAGGAGGATGAAGACCACCCCAGAGGCTATGCCCAAGAGGGCCGAGGGGCTATTGAATAATTCTCCTCGTAGGAATGGCATGATGGACGATTTAGACGCGGGCAAAAGCGCAATGCCGATGAACCCGTTGGGACAAGACATGCTTGGGCTTGGGCATCTCCGTGCCTCTATTTCTATTCCTCCTATTCCATTCATTACTCTTGCATTGGGGTACTGCCGAGCTTCCCGATCCATGTGGGATGGGGTCTCTCAGAGGCAGGGATCAAGCTTCATAAGCCTCGAACGAAGCGCTATGTAACATGGCCCCGAACGTAGCGCGGAGCTTATACTTCGGGCACTAAACAATAAGGACGGTTATTTGCTCGGCACTTGTTGGTTATTTGTTCTGCTCAACAGGGGGGAAGCCACAAAAAACGGGGACAAAGCCACGAGCATAGCTCTACTACTAAACTTAGCCACAGCGCCGATATGTATGTACCTATCTTTTCTCTGATGCACTCGAGTCATCTATGAATTCATGCTACAAGACCCGTGTACCGTGAAGTGCCTCTACGACTACTGCCACGTAGCTATCCCAGGGCGCGCCGCAGTTCCAGCAGCAGACGCAGTAGCAGTTCTAGGGCGATTAGCCCGGGCCATATGCTTCAGGGCCTCTGGAGACTATAGAAGCCATAACCAGCAACCATGAGGGTTCTGAATAGCTGCATCAGGGCTGCTAATAGCCGCTTAGCGACTCGCCTATTTCGCTATTCTTCGAGTAACTCGAGTGTACACGGAAAAAGGGTAGGTATATCGACGCCACAGCTAATCTTGCTAGTAGAGCTATGTTTGTGGCTTTCTCCCTAGGCAGAGCAAATATCCAACAAAGGCTAAGCAAAAAGTCGTCCTCCCTCCTAAATAAGCCCCTGACATGTGGGACATCCATACTAAATAAAGTAGGTACCTAGGTAGGATGTCTAAGGTACCTAAAATACCACCACAGCCCCACTTGTTTACCCCGCCTTCTGTGGTCATCGTCTGGGCTTCAATGTGGGGAAGCGTTGAAGTCTTTGTAAGTCTCGTCAATATTCCTAGCTTTGCGCCACAAGAGCAAGTGCCCAGAGCACCCATGGAAAGCATAAATACGGGTATCGAGCTTCCTTAGCCTCGAAAGCCTGCTACTTAGGAGGCGTGATCTGTGGCTGTTTCCTGGCCCCCGGGAATCTCACGTTTGCCACTGCGAATCCATGTGGGAGGAGTAGTCGTTTCCATTAAAGGGTGTACAAACCTGTTTCGACACAATAAGTAATTACAGCTTTGAAGTCGGCGATCATTAAATGGTGTCAGGGCTAGTATAGTTCCTGTTAATGTTAAGGCGAGTCCTGGTGCCGTTGACAGAAGCCGGTGATCCTAATGCCGGTCTGGGACCTTATGTGTCTTTTGACCCTGCAAGCAATGTAAAGGTTCGCAGAAATGGCACAGAAGCAATCCCTGTGCCCTAGCTAGTAAGCCCGAACTGACAATAGTTGGGGAATCTCCGTCTCTTCACAGTGCATACGCCATCGTAGCTCCCCATTAATCACAAACATCTTCCCACGTTCGGCAACGTCTTGAAGCGCATATCCAACCAAGTTTGCGTCAAAGCAGCGTAAACGCGAAGACCCAAGACCGTCATCAAGCCACGCAGAGACTTCGGAGAACGTAAAAATAGACAGATAGAGCTCCAGCACTAGCCTTCATCTTCCTGCTACCATCAGCGCTACGCGACCTATAGAAAATTTTCCAGACAGGTCTCCCAGTCCATCTCATACTACAGCAGCTCTAACTCTCAGGCTATCAAACCTTCCGTTGAGGATTTCTGTTATCATTGTACAGAAGCTAAACACGTGAAACTAAAGACGTCTTCAGGACTTGACCTTTTTGTGCTGCTTGCTGTCCCTCGACCGGCTGGCAAGGCTTCACGTACGTCTGCTTCTCCTCCGACTTCCTTTCCGCCTCTTCTATGTGGCCGACGACGCAGTTTCCCCGAGCTGGTAAGGATCACGTCTTGAGGTTCAGGTTTTGATTGCTGTGTATTTTCTTTTCGTGGAAGTTTCATGCTGACCTCGCTGATGTGGCAGTATTTGGCCAGCGACTTCCCCACATGGGCACCACTAGCACCGTAACGGCGATGGGTCAAAGTTATGAACGGCCTCAGAAAAAGTCCAGAAAACCCTGGAAAACGTATTTATCAAGAAGAATTTAAATCTCACTAGTGCTATCTCGCGGTGTGGAGAGCCTTCATAGGTACCTAGCAGCACTCGTAAAGTTGATGTACCTATTGAGCATTTGACGGTGAGGCCACAAGAGGGCCAATAGATCATGTATTAATCAAGCCGTGCCTGGTCGAGAATGACAAACATCACGTTTTACATACAACTAGATTATATAGTTGCCGTAGTCGGCTCAGCAAATCTGAGGTTTCCACCTCAATTTATTGTTCAAAAGCACAATATGCCGATGACTTCTGCGGCCCAGACGTGGAATACGGAGCTAGACAAGTCACGCTTTGCCAGTGCACTCTGATAATTCCAGTCATCGTTTTATCACGATCAAATACGAATGAAATCAGTCTTTGTTGGGATCGTTGTGATTCATCATCCCCTTCGGATACAGAAAAGTCTCGCAGCATATAACCGCTTATTTCAAACCATCAGGGAACATAATCTGAACAACTTAAGTGTTTACCTGACACACAAAAGTTTGGGATCGATGTGTTTGAGAATCAGCTCGACCTCTTCATCAAGCATTTCAAGTATATGCTCAGGGGGGTATTCTGGCTGCCAGCCAATTAAGCGGCCATGCTTTGCAGTATAAGTTGATCTGAGGAGTTTCACGATCAGCTTAGCCATCTTTTCAGTCTAGTTTTGGGGCATTTCTTACTCTCCACTTATCTTCACAACAACTGACGATGGCTCGACATTGAGCGCTTCCGCCATTTTCTTCAGCGCGCCGTCAGCGGCAGGTCGAACGGTCGCGTCCTTAATGATGTTTCTCTTTACTAGAGCTTTGGCGATGGACGCGTATATCTCGTCCCAGAACACTCGTCCTGATGACGCCAGATAGTAACCGTACTTCCCATGTCCAGGCTTATCGTCACGCAATATAGCTTTGACAAGAGTCGTGTACAAGGAAATACAATCAGAGATGTGGCAAACCGCCCAGGCCTGGAATAACTCGTTAGCTCTTGTAATTATGCGTACCGTTTGCGATGTTCAGCTGTTTACCTGGCGTTCCGAGCCAATTTTGTAGACGTGACCGGAACCTTGGGCTGCCACTACAACGTCGACAGTCTGAATGGAAATCTTATTTCCGAAACCAGTACCTTCACCATCTGAATCTTTTGTCAACATTGTTCTTGCTGCCAAGGGAGCGCAAGTATGGGACCACATACAAACAATACAGGGCGAGAGGAGATACAGCCGAACATCGTATTCCTCTGCAGCTTCAACGAGCCTGCAATTGGTTTCAACGGACTGCCAAAGCGGATGCCTGTTAGACTTTCTTTTCGGAAGCTGCCATGCCTGAGGATTGACATACTGCCTTCATCTCCTTGAATTGGGTTTTCTGCTTTGATTGAATGGTGTACAAGTTTGGATCCGTGTCCAACAGAAGCTCATCCGTGGGCGCCCCCGCCAAGCTGGAGAACTGTTTTGTTCCTGTGGTCTGGCTTGAAGGTTAGATGTGCGTACAAGTCCATAAACGCGTTGGTTCACTTACAAAGATGAGATGAACATCTTGTCCCGTGGCCTTCTTCAGAGCGGACAGGCCCTTGATGAATGCGAAAGGGCCGTCTGCCGTGTAGGCGTCGATGAGGTATAACACAATCGTGATACTGTTATCAATGATAAGCTTTGCAACATCATCCTCTTGTAGAGAGGATCGCACTGGCTCGGCGCCATAGAGCTTCTCGACTGCTGTAGCTTGATCATCGGTGCGAACAAGAGCAAGCAATCGACCATATCCGGAAATCTGCGCCTTCGTCCAGGACTGAAGAAGAGACCCGCCAAGATATCCTGACCCACCGGTGATGAGGATATTGGCTGCCATGTCCGTGTGGAAGTGGGACAAATGGGGCAGGCGCGCAAGTACCGGAATAAATGTAGACAGATGATCTGACTTCTGGCTGTATGATTCACCAAGATTCGCGGGCAGGCGTTCGGCCCAAGGTATTTATGTCTGCACCTGCCAGGCCCTTTCTTTGTTGATTTCAAAGTTGGTATACTGCTGATCAATTTTCCTGAACACGATGGCAACTGACTAATGAGACGCTGTTCCTCTGGCTCCAATTTTCTACTTGCGATATTCTTGGCTTAACGAGCAGGTAGCCGCGTGCATAGCCTGGGAGAAGTAAACTGGCACTATTTTGGGGGCATCTCCATGAGCCACCCTTCCAACCCCTCTAAAAGCGGAAGGCACTCCATCCATCAACGTCGCCTATACACGCGACAGATATTTCGTTGTTTTAATTTAGCGCCAAGGCCAGCTTCCTCTTGTCTTGTCTTTTTTTTTCCACAGTAACAGACTTTCTATATGTAGATCGAGCAGTCTTCCGATTCATTTGCCCTTCTTTCCTTTGGTTGACCCAGCTTTTCCTCTAAACGTGAAAGTGGAAGAGACATGCAGGCAGCTAGGAAACGGTTCAACCCCAACCCCTACGCCAAGGAGCGGGACCAAAGGCCATAAAGGGGTGTTAAAGCTCCAGATGGCGGAGGCATCGATGCCAAATGTGAATCATGGCGAAGTAATCGTTGGAATTCCCTCTGCGAGTTTGAATTTTCGTGATACAAACGGTTGGGTCTTGATCGTATTTTCGACCTCTGATTACCAAGCAGATGACCAAGCGGAGAGGGAGGAGGGGAGGGCGGGGTTGATGGTGGTGATGGAAGTCATGATGAATAAGCAATGCCCAGTGGCGCGGGAACAAAAGATTTCAATGAACACACCGAACAGTTGTGGGTGAAGGCTGCGGACATCACGACTTTCTCGCGCAATCCACAGCTGTCATGCCCTGTTCCGGCATGGCCAGCACCGTAGTCGCCTGCAAAACGTCCCGTTTTGGCGAGTGTGCTTGCGTGCTGTCTATCTTGAACCAGACTCTGACTGCATTGCTTTTGGTGGTATCATATCTTGCATCGGCCAGCGCAGCGGGAAGGAGGATGAGGAGGAGCAGGTCGACAGGCTGAACGTCAACATGGCCGCATTGCGCAGGACCATCAGCCCCAAGGGCATGATCAATGGGTCGAGAGAGCGGTTCGCGGAGATGCTCAGGTCTACGCGTAGGAGAGGATCTAGCCCATCGTGAGCAAGACGTTCAATTTTGACGAGATAGGAGGCGTTCAGCTCATAAAAGGGGTAAATGTTTTGGCAAAGTCATCAAGAAGATCGCGGAGAAACAGGCAAGCAAAGCGGAATAAAAAGTCAACCATAGAATGAGGTTACTCGGTACATTTTCCCATCAACCGCATTCGGACCAACGCCAGGATGGCGAAAAAGAGAAGGACATTTCAGTACTGAAGATCTGTGACGTGGTCTTATTGTTAGATATTTATCGAGAATACTGTTCAAGAAACCAATCTGAAAAACATAGTTCGGCATCAATTTTATCTTCCGTGACATGGTTGAAAATGGATAATTTACTCAATGAATACCGAGCACGTAGCTTTTACTACCGAGAACGAGAAAGAAAACGATGAGGAATCGTATAATGGTCTACTTAATGTATGCGGATTTTTGATAGTTTCTCCAAATTTACGTAAATCCATGTTCAACTGCCATGACATAACAAGACGAACGTAGTCTCTGTCCTCAGTCCTCCTCCGGTAGTCCGACGAGCCTGAGGGAGTCTCTCCACAGCCTCAAAGCTTTTTCAAAATCGAATGCCCACGGAGCATACCCCTTAGAGGTCAGCTTGTCCTCTCCTTCGACGTGCGGCTCTGCGACTTCGCAGTCAACGAGATACCTACCACTCTGATGCTGCAGGTTCTTCCCGACAGCGGCGAGAACCGTGGTAGCAGCACCTTGTTCGACGCTCTTCATCGTAGGGTAGATGTAATCCATACCCTTGAAGGCATCCGGAGGCATGTGACGAGTGAGGCCGGTGACGATGATACCAGGGTGAACACTGGTCCCATGTAAATGACGTGAGCCGAAGCGGCGCTCGATTTCGTTAGCCAAGTAGATATCAGCCGTCTTTGATTGGCCGTATGCTACATTAGCATCGTACGTGGTCTTCTCAAAGTTGTAGTCACTAGTGTCGCTTATGCCGTAGAAGAGGTGAGCAGTGGACGCGAGGCTGACGACGCGAGATGGAAGTTCGGAGGAAGCGTTGGCAAGAAGACCCGGCTCGAGGATCTTAAAGAGTAGGAAGTGCGAAAGATAGTTGGTCCCAAAGTGAAGTTCGTGGCCATCCGCACTACGGCGAAGCTCAGGGATCCCCATAATACCAGCGTTATTAACAAGAAGGTGGATCCGTGTAGAGGTCTTCTCCAGGATGGCCTTGCCAGCCGAACGGACAGAGTCGAGGGAGTTTTGATCCATTTAGATAACCTCCATGCGGGTAGGATCGAAGAAATCAGCCAACGCAGCTTTGGCCTTGGGGATGTCTCGCGCCGTGAAGAACAGGTTAGCCCCGGTGAGGGCAAGAGCCCGGGCCGTCTCGATACCTATGCCAGAGGACGCTCCAGTGATAACGATATTCTGGCCGACAAGCTTTCCCTCAGCTTCCTGATCCTTGACTATCTGGACAGCCGTCGGACGAGCATCCCCGGGTCCCTGTGGTGTCTTGTGGGCTTCAGCGTAGCGGGACATTGGTAAGTCGGTTGTCTCGGATTGGAAATTCCGGATTGAACAATATGCGTGAGGTTTGGGGAAATTAAGTCTGATATATGGAGTTGCAATTGCCGGATAACTTGTCTCGCAGGTCTTATGGAACTGGAAGCAGAGTCGCCAATTTGGATATCCTGCCATGGAGACTGGGCGAAGTTGAAGGTTCTGGAACTGTTGGAGAAATGATCAAAGATAGATCTCAAAGCAATAAAGCCACTTTTCGAGATACAGACACCTTACACTACATAAGTGTCGATAGGCAGCTATTTATTCATCACGGATTCCCAATTACAATGCAATGCTTGGTCATGGTAGGAGTGTTAAGTCTACGTCGTGTGGAGTCTTGATGACCTTTTCGCCATTTTTGTACTAGAGCCTCCCCGTTCTCAACTCCAATTGTTTCCCTTGTGTTGCATTAACCTGCACACGCTGACAGCAAATCCTCGTTGAAAGGTGCATGGCGCATTCTCCACGGCGACGATTGAAACGTCCATTGGTGATGCTTCAATGTGAGTGCTTACCCGGAGGCATTCTCATTCACTTGCTACTTAGCCTAAATCAGAAAGGATGTGAAACTAATGAACAGCCGATCGTTACGCGCTCGATCCTCTATCTCTCAAAGTTTACCAGAAGGCCAAACCTTGACAAAGGAGTACAACTTTCTAGAGATTGGGCGTGCAAATCGGCATGTGGAAAGCGAAAGCATTGGGGTTGACTCCTGTTCTTGAGGCTTTAGGCGGCTCACTTTTGGTATCGAGGGCAAGAATGCAAAGTGCAGACGTATCATATTCATCCAGTTAGCCACGCAAAGTATCTGGAATACAGTATGATTTCTTTTCAGTCAGGTTGAGCTTTTCCTAAGTTACCGCATTTAGAACCCAAAGCTTATGGCTGAGAGAGACTTTGGCACTTTCGTGGGTCGAAAGGACCGGCTCTCTGCCTAAGTTACCCCGTGTGGCTGGATGTTGACCAGCAGCGCCAACCCATTGATTGAGCAAGATGAACGTCGCAGGTTTCAGCCCAATTGTGTGTTGATAAAGAGACGATCTGAGAGGCAGACTCTCAGATTACATACTAATCATCAGTTAGTCACGCCTTCTCTCAACATGATGATAGATGGAACTCGCCGGAATGTAGAGATATGGTACCTCTAGCTCGTACTGCTTCCACGCCTCGCCATACTTCTCGCGACAGCGACGATGATCGCGCTCAGCGCGGTGAATGGCCATGATGGAGAAGAAGACCGGATAGAACCAAGGGAACGGACTCCGGAAGCCAGTAATCAGGCCCCACGACAGAGCAAAGTAGACGTCGCACGTATAGTGGATCTTCCGAGCATAGCCCAGCCAGCCGTCAACCATGATGACGTCTCCCTTATCCGACGTGATGGTCTTGGGGTTCTTGACGGTTTGCCACGGTAGTTGGGGGAAGGTCTTCCGGCTGACCAGCTGACCACGTTCCTCAGCTCGGAAGCCATTCTTCTGACTGTTGGTGGTATCCCAGATCCAATACGCGAATAAGTATGAGATGTATAGGGCAACGAGCGCGAAAGAATTCCACTTGTACTCGGACGGATGGTGATTCGCCAGGTAAATGGTACAGTGTGAATACGACATGGGAACGCCGGCTAGGTTCCAGACGATAAGCATGAAGCCCCATTTTTCATAGTATATGTCCCTATACATGTTAGCACGGCTATGCGTGTATTTGGAGATGGACCTACCAAGAGGATATGATGAGCTGCTCGCCTTTGGCACAGGCGTTGGCGTAGAGGTAGTGTGCGACCACCAGGAAAAGCACCTCGCCAGAGACGTACCCGTACCTCTCATATTGGCGGGCTGCGGCACCGCAGGAGAGGCCGAATATGATGAACCAGGGAATTCGCACCATAAAGAACATTTTGAAATCCAAAATGCCAAACATACGAGGATTGAGCTCGGCACCCATGAAGAAATCGTAAATAGGATAGCCAGAAACACGATGCTGCGCACCTCTCAACAGAGTCGAGAGGTAGGCGATAGTAGCTACAAGGTAGCCACTCAGGATACTTACCGTCAGCAAAGGGCCAAACTCGTCGATAACGGTATACAGCCGAAAGATGCCAGTAAGATGGAGGGCAGCCATAATAGCAATCGTAAAGTGAAACGTAAAGTAGGCGTTGCAGTAATATTTCAACTGCTTACCACCCTCGTGAGGCAGAGGCTTCCCCCAGCCCCAAACTCCCGGCAAGACACAATAGGATATAGCCTCGAAGACGAAAAATGACCAGTAGATGCGCCAAGCGCGCAGGGTCGGGAAGGCGTCGGTATACATAAGATGGCTGAGATGTTGACCAAACTGTGTCCAGCTCTGGTTCGCCTCAGGCCAGGGAATGTTGCCGTTGTAGCAGGCGGCGCCAATCCACATATACCACATCAGCAAGGGAAACCCGATCATCAGGGACGAGACACCAGCTGAGCCTCCGAATTCGAAGACGCCCGAGGTATCGACTTTGGGGTTCGTCCCGACCTCCCAGCCATCGATAAACTCACCCTTGCGGTATGTACGCTGGGTGCCTTCTGCTTCTTGAAGACCAAAATGGCTTGCGGTGGACTTTTCTTCCTTTGAATTCTTCCCGCCGTTTTGCTTTTTGGATGTAGTCGCTGTACGTTGTCTTGGGTTACCGTTTGGACTGTCGGGATGTTTGCCAGAATTGGGATCGCGGTACTCATGCCTGGAGAAGAAGTCAGCGCATGCCACTTGGTAAGGCAGCTGTCGCTATGAGGTCTTACCCGTTGGGGGTTTGGATACGTGTCGCCATGGCGGTGGGGGTTAAACTGTCTTTTTCCACAGGCAGGTAGGTATTGTGATGGCGTCTTAAATGCTCATGTTCAAATCAAGGCAAAGAAAAGCAGGACTTATTGTGGCGTCTCGGGGGATTTTATCACATCGAGTAGCAGAATACAAGAATAGTACTATCTAAACACACGTCCTCTGATGGGACCACGGATGCATCTTTCGTATAACGGAGAAACAAGCTCACGGATGGTTGTGGATCTGCCCTCGTTGATTCTGGTCAGAGGTAACGTCGAGGGAGGATGGGTGGCCAACAGGGGCTCTGATGGATTCCGTGAGAGTGCTGAGGGAAGCCAAGGCGCGCCATGCCAATCATTATCGCCGTACCCCTGACAGGCGGACTATGCAAGATTCGTCTAGATCGCAGATTGCCCCTTCACGCTAGTAATGCACGATTCCTCTAGATGCTGGATGACGGAGATGGCGAGGAATTGGGTAGTCCAAGTCAGCAAAGGTGGGCCGTTGTTTCGCAGTTTCGGACGCCCGAAACCCCGGGAAGGTAGGTGATGGGGATTGGTCTTCATCGGAAGAGCTGGACTTCTGCCCCCGTTCATTGCTGCTCGGTTTGTCTTCGTTTATCGTATACACCCGAGAAGCTGATATGTCAATCAGGTGTATTTCCCGGAGATGTGCGGGTCTCCCCTCGACAGTCCGGCTGGCCGCTCGTCAATCTTGGGCCTTTGATGTCATGACTGAGGGCCCAAGGCCGGGGGGACCCTAGATTTCACCGGCAGATCAGATGACGAGCTTCGGCAGCATCATTTATACATCTCTACGGTAAGAGGTCCAGACGAGAAGAAGAAGGGCAGTGTTCTTTACACACCTCTGAAGCTACCTAGGTACTGACAGACGTATTGCTTGTCCATTCCTCATTGCCAACCACCCTCTTGACAGTGGCACAGTTCGCCCGGTTCGACATGCCTCGATTGCATACCCTGCACCACGCTCTGGTCTAGCAGCGCTGAATGCACAGCAAAGAGCTGTTTGTTCTCTTCATCGACTTCTGGGGCGCATATCGAAGTACTCGAGCTTGCGGGGCTGTGTGTCGAGCTCTTCAATAGAGACTCCTCAGCGCTCTCGGATGGACGCTCAGTTCGATCGGCTGCCCGCAGGGGTAGATCCCTAGGTTTTGTTGGCAGCCGGGGTTGGGTTGGTGCTTGCGAAATGTCGCGCGAGTCTTCTTGCTGTCCCAACATCTTGCTCACAACCTCATCAACGCCCCTGCGCGAATGCCATGTTCACTCATTCGACGCCGAGAATGTCGCCATCAAAATGTGCCATGAGCTATACCGAGCTGGTCGTGTCCTCAATGACCCTGCCCAATAGAAGCAGTTGTGGTCGTGTCTTGCACGCCTACCATTTTCGCGTGTAGGTCTCGAATGACACATTTCGGCGACCGTAAACTTCCGCTCGAGACCGCAAGTCCCCCGCAAGGTCTTAAAAGGACATCAAATTGATCCAGTTTGACATATTTCCCCTGCTGCCTATTCACGTCACTTACAAAAAGCCTGTCGACTTTATCCAACAATGGAAAAGGATGCGCCTCAAGCACTGGTGTGGAAGCGTGCACGTCTGCCTAGCTATCAATGTACCCTGTGTCAGATATGCGCATCGTCATCCGATTGCGTTGCCATGCTCACATTGACGCCTGGAATTTAGGCAGCCTTTCGATCCGGCGGCATATAAGCGATCCCATGGTTCCCCGACGAAAACATTCGGTATGCCTTTAAGCAAGCACAACCAAAGTATCAAGACGACTCTGCATTTCAACATGGCCATCACTGAAGTCGGCTGCATGGGCGTCAAGCCTGGCCTGTCGATCACGGATCCCAGCACCCCGGAGGGCGCCATCCTCCCCGGCGTTTGGAAGACCGTCCTCACCAAGCCCGGCGGCCCGCAGCGTATCTTCTGGGGTCTTGAAAAGGAGGACTCATCCAAGGTCTGGGCGTTTTTCGACTGGAACTCGGTACAGGAGCACGTCGACTTTGCAAAGACGTATGTCGTTTGGCTCCTTCGCACCCACTGTTACTGAGAAAGTGCGCTAACCATGTCGAAGCCACGGGGCCGAGGCTGTCAAGGACATTCCTAAGGTCTGTACCCACGGGGAGTTCACCAAGCACGTTACTCTCCTGCCGTCGACTGATGTGCTCGGGTCGCCGATCACTCAAATCATTGCCAGCTACTTCCCCTCAGACATTTCAGCCGACGAGAAAGACAAGATAACCCAGCACGTGAAGGGTCTCCTATCAAAAGCCGATACCAACGACCCAGGCTACATCCCTTGGGGCTACGGCTGGGGCCTTGAGAACGATTATCCGGTGCGAGGTCTTGGCGGAAAGACCGGCACCATCTTCATGGTTCTGGTCGGCGCGCAGACGGGTGACCAGCATAACACCCTTTTCGGGGAGTTGGTCCACGCCGTCAAGAGCATGGATGGTCTGGTTGGCCTTCACCAATTCACCATGCGAAGCTTGCGTCAGGAGAGAGAGTGATGAGTTGCTAGACAAACCTCGCCAGCCCTCGAGTTTCAATCGGTAGCACTGGCGGCTATGTCTTGAATCTTGAAAGATACACGAATTGGTTGGGCGAGGGTGGTTGTGGCTACACCTCGGACGAGCCTTGTCGTTCTCGACCTCACTTCCAGGTATTCCTCCGTTTCTGACTGGCCTTATTCGTTTTGGGCTTCGCAAATACTTCATTGTTGCCTTCTTGTGCAGGGAGAGGTGCAGTAGACAGCAGAATCATTCATTACATTTATTTCAACGTGTGTTGATGAGTTGTTTGCCGATGATGAATAGCTGTGCTCTTTGACACGAAAGGTGACCAAGTGTAAGTGGTGGAAGGTCAAGCGCCCCGTGAAGACGGTTTGCCTGGAAAGGTATGAGCGGGGTTGCTGGACGAAACAAGCAGGAGAGGGGAAAGCCTTTGCTGTGCAGGGACTCGTGAGTGCCGCAAGAGCTCTGGTGGCTTGGAAAACCAAAGAAGGCTGACTTCCTAGGAAGTCGCCAGTGCCTGGTACCTTTTGAAGCGAACACAGCGATCAGCCAGCCGCCTGGGGGTGGGTGTCAGCACCTGATGGCCAGTGACTCGCGCAGTCGTCAATTCGAGCAAGAGAGATGGCCAAGCCGCCTCAAAACGGATCATGGCTACTGTTCGAGCAGGAGCGTTCCAGCAGTCGTTTGTGCACGACTGCATAAGTCGTCATGACGGAGGTGGGTGAAGCTTGAAGAGACAGCTGGCCTTGGTTTCCTAATCAGCATGCTGCCCTGCTGCGGTCTACTGAATTGAGGTACCTTGAACGCGAAGGCTAACTAAGGTACCTTGCGCAGAATGCATCTCAGCCTGCCTGAAGTTCATGCTGCCTGAATAGTAAGCTAAGGTATGTCGCGGAGAAGAGCATATAAACGGTTGGTCATACAAGTACCTTGAACTTGGGGTTCCAACCAGGTAGTACGGCATGGCAGGCTTCATTGGGTTATGCCCATGGTTATAGCGTACTTGTTGGGCTGTATGAGCGACCGACGACTTGCCTGTGTGGGTACCCAAGGTGCACGGCACCTGCCTCAGGTGCTTGTCGTAGTTCAGGCACCAAGGAAAGCAAGCGCGTCCCCCCAGGCGAGGCAGGGGCCTCCAGGCAGCAAAAGCCCAACACCCAACAACACCAAACGCAAATGCAGTGAAGACGGCCGATGCAGGCCAGAGCTTGTCAAGACAATGCACATCATCAGGGCAAACCGATCCTTGGCCAATTCTCCGGAACAAGTCCGCCTTGTACAATTGCGCCGTCTCATCTTAGGCCAACCGGTCTCTGCATCATCATTGGCTGGTCGACGCAGACGATTGTGGCTGTACACGTCTTGGCTCTGGATCAAGCGTGCCGTGACATGACCTCACAAATGGCCTTTCCAACGCTCTCAACCTCCTGAGCCGTACTCCTGAGACAGAGAGAGAAAGAGAGAGAGAGAGAGAGAGAGAGAGAGAAGAAGAGAGAGAGCAGTTCGATCCGTCGAACCCTCGAACGGTCAAAAATGCCGCTTCGCATTATACCAGCCGACGCCTCGGGCCTGCCGCCGCGACAGAGTAAGCCATCTCGACGACACCTCAGTGACGTCTGAACGAGATGCTCCGCCAGAAAGCACACCGAGCATCCCCAGCTAACCTGCGCTCCAGTCGACCTCTTCACCGGCCCCAACATCCACCATGACGCCTACCCAGAAATTCACCCGCGCCACTCCCCCCACGCAGGGAAATCAGTCCTCATTACCGGCGCAAGTCAAGGCCTCGGCCGCGCCATTGCCATCGGCTATGCCCGCGCTGGCGCCACGCGCATCGCCCTCGCTGCTCGCACAGACCTGACCACGACAACCGACCTCCTGCTCGCCGCCGCCGAGGAGGAGTCACAGCCGGCCCCCGAAGTCCTCGCCCTCGAGATGGATGTCACCGATGCCGCCAGCGTGCGCGCTGCCGCCGCTCGTCTCGACGAAGCATGGGCTGGCCGCCTCGACATACTCGTCTGCAACGCCGGCTACATGGCCTCCTTTGCGCAACTGCTCGAAGCCGACGAGGAGGACCTCATTCGCACCTTTGACGTCAACTACTGGGGCACGTATCGCTGCTGCCGTGCCTTTGTGCCCATCATGATCAGCGGTGGCGGCGACAGGACCGTCGTGACGCTGACGTCTATCGCGGCCCATTTCATCGGCGGCGGCAGCGGGGCGTATTCACTGAGTAAATTTGCGCTCGTGCGGTTGACCGAATTTTTGCAAGACGAATATGCATCGCAGGTCGGTTTTCCTCATTGACCCTGAAGAAACAAGTACAGAGACTGACCTGCCAGGGCGTGCTGGCGTATTCGGTCCACCCAGGGGCCGTGTCGACGGGCTTGTCAGACAAGCTGCCAGAGAAGTACAAGTGTAAGTCCCCCTTCAAAAAAAAAAAAAAAAAAGAAAAAAAAAAAAGACTTGCGGAGCATTGCTGACGCCTGGCAGTCCGGCTCACAGAAACACCAGAGCTCATCGGCCACTCACTGCCCTTCCTGACGAGCCAGAAGCGTGACTGGCTCGGCGGCCGCTGGGTCAGCTCCATGTGGGACCTGCCAAAGCTGCTAACCATGGAGAAGGAAGTCGTCGCCAAGGATTTGCTCAAATTCAAGTGTACTGGTTTGAATTAAGAATAGTAGGCCGGTGCAGGTATCACCTGGCTTTCCACGGAGGAGTACGGCTGCCGGCTTGCGAAGCCCATCATAGCATCGGACGACTGTATCATTATTCCTTCTTCTTCTCGTCTCCTCAGAATTCGCATTGCGAGCCCTGGCTCCTCGGCAGTCGTTCAAACAGGGATTCTCGTGGCACATCGATATCCCCATCACGATCTAGGTACCTCACAAAAACGATGGGCCCCCCGTCATGCAGCCGCCGCTCCTCGACCCTCCAACGAGAGGAGGACCGTGAAGCCATGCCGACCCTCGGGTGTGTGCGTCTCAGCCCCCCGATCCCCATCTCGGTAGAGCTTGGCCACCAGCGTGCCCTTACCATTGACTTCAATCCTCGCTGTCGTCAGCAGACCTTGAATGTTGACCGCCCTCTTCTGTATGCGACTGAAATGTCCCGCCAGGCTTTGTCGGAACTGTTGAAAGGCCAGGCCCTCAAGATCCATCCCATCGCAAGGGGCTTCAGGCGTGACGTCCATCAAGAAGAGATCCGGCGCCTCGGGTCCTGAATCCTCTCGTGACTTTTCAGGCAAAGCCCTTGCCGTATCTGAATCAACACCACTGTAGAATTGATGCGACCCATCCTCGAAATAAAATCGGCTGAACGCCAGCGCAATCTTCCACCCTGCACGGTCGCCGACACCAGGCATGCCAATGACGCAGCTCAGCACAATCAGCTCGCGTGTGTTGCCCTCGCCGCCCACGTCGGCCCTCGGCACCAGCAGGCACTCGAGGTGCGTCAGCGGCTGGCACATGTCGCTGCCGCCCTGGATAGCGATGGTCTGCGCGGCCTTGTAAGTGTACTTGGCAGGAACCGGTATCGATGTATAGAGGGCGTCGAAGTGGGAGCTCAAGTGGAACTCGTCGAGCAGCATGCCGTGCAGCATGACCTCGGCGTGGCCCGGGTCGAGGTGCAGCACGGCCTTGCGGCGGCCCGTAACGTTCTTGCGCACGATGACCGTGTCGAGTTCCGCCCCGTCATGCACGTCTCGCGGCATGCCATCAGACGTGTCCGAGCCCCACTCCGGCGGCGACTCGCGAACTTGGGACGGCGTCGCGATGCGCGTGAACAGTGTATAGGGCCTCTCAAACGGCCCGTCCGGCAGGTCCAGCAGCGCGAGCACGGCAAGGCGACGGTCGCCGAGGCGGCAGTTGAGCAGCAGCGTGTACGTCGGCTGGCCGAAAAGGAACGACGTCTCGGGGTGCGGCCGCGGCACGCTGACGAGGTCAAGCTTGAGGCCCATCTTGGTCATGGCCGAGGGCACGCCGCGCTCATCGCCAGTGCGGGCGATGGCGCCGGCGAAGCGGAAATCAAGCGGCGACTCGGCAAAGACGCTGCCGAGCGACCAGGCGCGCGGGTCGCCCGGCGCCACGGTCCACGCGAGCAGCGAGTGGTCGTCAGTCTCGCGCCAAATCTCCTCCTGCAGCCGCTGAAAGGCCCGCTTGCCCTCGCCGTAGAGCAGCGGCAGGTTGATGCCGAAGAGGCCTAGCAGGCAGTAGGCCGTGTCCTCGACGCGCGTGCACGTACGCCGCGACGCCCACGACATCTTGGTCGCGACGCTGGCGTCCTCGAGGGGGAGGCTGTGCGTGAGGTAGGCACCGTCGATGCCTGTCGCGCCCGTCAGCGCGTCCGTGATCTTGGCGCTCGCCGCCTTGGACCGGCCCACGCCGATCGACCCGATCGACACCCAGTTGGACGAGAAGAACTTGACGAGTGGCGGCGCCAGGAGCTCCTGCAGCGTCCAGCCCCGCGTGAACCAGCGACACTGCCGGAAGACGGTGTAGTCCACCTTTCTGACCTGGCCCGGTTCGACTGCTTTGGCCGGCTTCTCCTGCGCCGGAAAGTCCTCAAGGTAGGCGTAGCAGACCTGCGCGTCACGATACCATTGGTACATCGAGTTGATGGCCTCGCTGAGCTCGGCGCTGCTCGACTTGTCTATGCAGCACGTGTCGACCCAGACATAGTCGATGCCCTTGACCGTCGCTTCCTGGCACGCCCACTGAATCTTGGGGAACCCTTGCTTCGGCTTGGTCCAGCTGGTGATGGCCTTGATGTCGTGGTAGGTCACCTCATCGTCGGCCCACGTGTGCGACAGGATCGCGTAGGGCGGCACGTCCCCAGCGAAGAATTCGTGGAGCTCGTACGTCTTGGCGTATATGAGGCGCATCGTGGGCGAGAGACGAGCCGCGTGCCCTCATAGTGGCCGCTAACGTGAGAGGTTTCCGTTCCGTCTGCATCTTACATGCGGCTCTCGCGTGTTCATGCTGCTGCTGGTGGGCGGGGTATTCTCCCGTGCCGCAATGTGTGCTGGGGTTGTTGTGGAGGGCAGGGGGTTCAGCTGATGCAGGTTGAGGGACTTCGGTCCAGGGGTCATCAACAGACCTTCGACGCCAGAGGTACCACTCTCATGAACCTCATCCCGTCGTCTTTGCTACTTGTTTCGACGAGAGCCGACGACGTCAATTGTATCATCTGCTCGCGGTGTCTGAATAAAGCGAATATGACGAAAAGAATGGGACTCGTCTTGGAGGCCCACCGTCGGGGTGAGCGACCGAAGCCATCTCGGCATCCGTCCCCGACGCCAAAGATGCCGAATGGACCCCAGAGTCAGAGTCATGTACGACCACTGGCATTCTGACAATCAGCTTCGCTTACAACTTTACCATTATCCTCGTTCATTTGGGAAACAAGGCTTGTTATCGCCCAGTTGTGTGTCTCGAACCTATCGCAATCATGTCTGCCTACCCAAATCGCCTCAATGAGCTCGCCGCCCAAGACAAGGTCTGCAAGGCACGTAACACACAGTTCTTCTCCTATGAACGACATCTGACATGCTCAGGTCTTCGGCATTAAAGTCCTCACAGCCCTCGAGACCCCTCGCTTCGTCGCAAACGCCGGCTTCAACGGCATCTTCATTGATCTCGAGCACTCCACCCTCTCCCTCGGCACGGCTAGCGAGCTCTGCGTCACGTCCATGACGGCCGGCATCTCGCCCTTTGTGCGGGTGCCGGGCCATGTCGGACGAGGTTTCGTGCAACGGGTTCTCGACGGCGGCGCTCAGGGTGTCATCTTTCCCCACGTTGACACTGTCGGTATGCTACGGCCCGCCTTGTTGAAGGAACTGCGTAGAGTACTGATGCGAGAGCAGAGCAAGCCCAAGAAGCTGTCAGAGCGTGCAAATTCCCGCCGCTGGGCAAGAGATCCATTACTGGCACGCTACCGCATTTCGGCTACAAGTCTGCTTCTGTCGACAAGGTCATCAAAGTCGGCAATGCGTCGCTTTCTTCGGTGTTTGTCATGATCGAGAGCCCCGAAGCCGTGGACCGGATCGACGATATTGCCTCTGTCGAAGGCGTCGACGTCATCATGGTCGGCTCAAACGACCTGTCTATTGAGCTCGGCATTCCTGGCAAGTGGGACAGTCCTGTCTTTGACGATGCTATACGCAAGATTTCGCAGGCTGCGAAGCGCCACGGACGACTTCTCGCCCTAGCAGGTATCTACGACCGCCCAGACATTATCCACAAGTGCATCCACGAGTACGGTGTGCGATGGATCGTGGTCCAGCACGACATGTCCATGATGGCCAAGTTTATGAGCGCAGCAGTCAAGGATGTTGTGGCGCTGGAAGAAACAAAGATACTAAAGGCGTAGACAGAGATACCCGCCCATTTGCCGGGGCCTGAATGAAATGATGCCATCACGAAAGATTGAGATACCGCCCAAACACTTCCCAGTCCATCATGTCCGCGCCCGTCAACGCGAAATCAGAATCTTGGTACAGCCAGGAGAAATCGCCATCATCGATCGTCGCGCCCTCAGCCGCCGCCACATGCTCCGACAACTGCGCCTCGCCGCTCGGCTGCTCGTCCGATCCGAGGAACGCCTGGATGTCAAACATGTCCTCGAGCTGCGCAAACGGACTGACCGTGTCGTCCGTGAGCCCGGCCATGCCGATCGTCTGCGCCGCCCCGGAAAACTCGGCGGACGGCGGCGCCGTGCTGTAGGGAGGCAAGTTCCCCTGGCGCAGGGACGTCAGCGTGGCGGCGACGTCGTCGACGCGGTTGGCTGCGTCGGCGGCCTTGATGCCGTCGCCCGGGATCGATCTGTTGTGCTCGTCGGGCTCAAAGGGCAGCGAGAGGTGCTCGCATATGCGCAGGATCTCGACCCTGCGTGATGCAGCGGCGGCGTTGCCGCACTCCCCCATGACGAGGAGCAGATGGCACGCGCTGTTGAGCCAGGTCGAGTTGGCTGTCCTGGCGTGCGTGTTCATGACGCTGTCGAGGATGACGCTGAAGGCTGCGGAGAAGATGGCGTCCAGGTCGAAGAAGCCGTACATCGCTGACGGGTTGTTAGCCAGATGCCGAAGAGGGAGTTGTCTGGTCACGCACCGAGGATGCCCTGATTCTGCATGGCCGTCAGAATCATGAGGCTTCGACGAGCAGCAGCCAGGCACGGCTTGATGAGGGACTGCAGCAGGGGCTCGTCCAAACCACTGCTCTGCGTCTGGTGGCCGATGACGCCCTTTGCCGCTCTGAGCAGCAGCGGCCGCGCAGCATACATCAAGGGCTGTAACGGCCAGTGTCAGTCGTGTCCCTACGCAGACTTGCATCCAGACGACTGACCTGGTAGAGCATCAAGTGTAGTGATGCTGCCGTTCTGGTCACTTTCAGAACAGGCGCCCCGAAGTCCAGCGAGAACTCGGAGGGCATGCTACGGGCGATCTTGTGGAGGGATCGCATCACAGCCTGCACGCGGATCACGAACGCGTCCTGTCGAATCATGTGGCAGCCATAGATTGCTGGGTTTCGTCAGCAGAATGTCCACGAAGCGCATTCGGACAAGACAGCATACTTGAGTAGATCTGGCCACTGACGCGAGCCAGGCTGACATTGATGTTGATGGCATCAGGCGACTGGAAGCCGAATGACGGGAACGGCGCCTCGATCGTGATCGCGTCGTCCTCGATGCCCAGAGGGCTTTCTGTCGCTGCAGCTAGGCGTCTTTCGCTCCATCATCAGTTCTCTCTTCGGGCATGTTTTGAGACGGACCGTGTACCTGTCTTGCATGTAGATCGTCCACCAGAGTCTGTTCGACTTGACCCATTCCGACTGCAGCTGACGTCGCGTATGGGCCTTCTTATGCAGGCGACAGGAGATCGCCAGCCGCAAGGCTGTGCTTGACTGCTACGTTTTAGTTTGGATTTGGGGGGGCGCGATATGCCGGTCCTTGGGCTGTACTGACGTAAAAGTATGCGTCGTCTTTCCGATCGAGGTTCTGCAGGTAGACAGCCGCCAGGCCGAGGATGCCCATGATCGGCGTGCTCGTAGCGCGCCAGGTCGACACGCTCGGCAGAGAGCCCATGGCAAAGTCAAAAAGCTCGATGCCGGGGTTCTTCTTCCGCTCTGTTGACTTGACTGCAAACTGGATGCCCACGGCTAGCACGAGAATGGTTTCGCAGAAGCGCAGGATCGAATCCTGCTTTAGCTTGTCAGGGTTCTCGTAGAGCTGGTCTACCTGGTCCAGCACGTCCCGAGGATCGAAGAATTGCTGCGAGACCCCGACAAAGGAGAGGAGCGTCTCGACGAGGAACGCGGCGTCTGATTCGGGCGGCAGCATGTCGAGGATTGTCCTGTGCGGGTGAGATGACGGGCGGCCCGGCTGGAGGGAGCCGCGGTCGTCGTGACTTGGGTGTGAGGGCAGGCTCGGGCGCGAGGCGAGCAGACTCCGCACATCGGTCCGCAGATCGTAGCTGGAGCTGATGGCATCGCCTGTGGGGTCGGCGGATGGTGTTGTGTGTGACGCGCTGATGGGATAACTCGATGTGCGGCCGTGGCGGCTGGGTTCGGTCCGGAAGCCATACGCAGGCGAGGGGGTCTCCGGTTGACGGGTGCCATCGTTGGTGACAGATGCTGTGGACGAGAGAACGACATGGCCCTCGCTTTCGGATCTTGCGACTGCATGGTCAATGAGCATCATCTCATGATGAGGTGCCAGGACACCGCGCGGGGAGGCTGCTCACCTCGTGCTACCTTGGCTGACGGCTGGCCGCTCTGTTGTTCGTACAAATGCAGACGATCTTCGAGATTCTGGATATCCCTACTACAATCAGCAGCTGAACAAAGTGACATATACAGGAATCATGGTACAACTCACGAGACGGAAAACAACTTTCGTTTGCCGTGTCCTGGGAACTGGCATTCGAGGTTTCGCTTCGAGCAATACCGACACGGATAGCTCCCCGAGCACTTGACCTTCTTGCTCCGGCATGTATGGCACCTGGGATACGTCAATTACGTCCTCGCATGGCAGGGCAGTCCTCATGCAAAGCCAAGCCGAATCTCGGGCCACGGGCGGGGGCATGGGGCCAAACTCACGCAGCGGCCGACCGGGCGACCTTGCCAGGCTGCGGCTCGGCCGGTGCCGACTCTTCTCGCTCCATCTGCGCCGAAGGAAGCAGTTATGGGCCGGGCGGCGAGCCGAATCGCGGGGCCGAAGTGTGCTGTCGTTCGCGGTCGGCGTCGCAGGGTGTTCGCCAAGGCTGGTGGCCATGTTCGCCCAACTGAGCCGATTGCCCCGCGTCAGGGTCGTCAACCCTCGGCTCTGGTTCCGAAGCCGGCGGTATGCGCATGACTCGCGCGGGCGGAGGCAGATTGTGCTTCGTCCCGTCTCGACAAAAGCCGACGAAGCACGGGTCGCAGCTGACAGGGATATAAATGAAGTTTAGACCCCCGAGTTCGGAAAAACGTCGGGGCGGGGAGTACCGTGCACAATTCAAGGTGCACGGGCCCTATATAGCATATATGGTAAAAAAAATTTAAAAAAAAACTATCTTAAGAATTAAGGGTATTTAAGATATATATTTTAATATATATTAGGCATATGCTTAGTATATGCTAAGTATATACTAAGTATATACCCTTAGGTTAGTTAGCCTTAAAGAGTCTCCGAACTGGGTAGGATGAAGTTGAGACTCACCCCTGTGAGCTGCATCCCGGTCGAGACGAAGGGGCTTTACTTCAGCTCAGCGGTCTTGCAATACCCAAAGTTGCTCCTTTACGATTGTGAGGTGCCAACCATGGCCTGAGCTATTCAGCTACTGAGAATCGAGTCCAGTGCCTTGGTGACATTCAATTGGAGCATTTGTTCACTTGGTGGCGATAGTATATCGACTTATTTCAGGCGACAGCTCTCTCCATCGGTCTAGCACCTTATGTGGTGCCAGTGACCGAGGAACTGCCAGTGAAAAGGCGTACTGGCCTTTTCCCATCCGAGTATCGTTTCCAATCATTGCCTTACGAATTAAAACCACTTGCGTTTGGGTGGCTCAGCATGCATTCCGCATGCAGGTCATGCAGCCTTGCGAAGTGGTGAGCGGCTAATTGTTACATATTATCCAAGGCTGATCCTGCGCCTCAGCAGCTCGTTCTCGGGGAGGGTCGTGCGTGACTTCATCTCCTCCTTCATACAGGGGCACAGAGACCCTTTGTTTGGTTTTTTCTTCGTCTTGCTCTGTGTCTAATAATCATACATTCAAGGCCTCGTCCCAGCGAGACGCTTGACGACCAGCCCCTTACACCGATGATCTCTTAAAGAACCTTCATTCCGCCTCGATACCACATAGTCTGGACTATTAGCCATACCACTAGGTTATCATAAGGCCCAAACTCACAGATCACCAAGATGTGGCTTCTCAAAACCGATGACCTCACCCTTCACTGTTTCTTCGGCTACATTCCGGAGTACTCCATCCTCTCACACACGTGGGAAACTGAAGAAATCACCCACCAGGAAATGCTGAACCCCACCGACGAGGTGCGGCGCAAAGCCGGCTACCAGAAGATTCACGTGTGTGCTGCGGAGAGTCGAAAGCTGGGCTATTCCTATACCTGGATCGACACATGCTGCATCGACAAGTCCAGCAGCGCCGAGCTGTCTGAGGCCATCAATTCCATGTTTTCCTGGTATCGCGATTCAGAGCTATGCCTGGTCTACCTCCAAGACTATCAACCTAGTCCGAGGTCGGCCTTTATGAATGACATAGGTCATTGCAGGTGGTTCACCCGGGGCTGGACTCTACAGGAAGTCCTCGCACCCGCAAATGTCAGTTTTTACACCGCAGATTGGACGGCCATGGGCACCAAGGAAGAGCACGCGCAAGTTCTTTCAGGCTTCCTCTCCATCGACCGGGGTCATTTGACCGATGGCCTTCTCGAAGGCATAAGCGTAGCGACAAAGATGAGTTGGGCTGCACACCGTCAGACGTCAAGGGTAGAAGACATGGCCTACTGCCTCATGGGCTTGTTCGATATCAACATGCCGCTTCTCTACGGTGAAGGGTCTAAAGCCTTCCTCCGGTTGCAAGAAGAAATCATGAAAGTTGACGATGGTTCTTCAATCTTCTTTTGGAAGACGGCAGACGATGAGCATCGGACTCTGAGAGGCCCTCTGGCCCGAAGCCCACTGGAGTTCTCACACGTATCCACAGGTCGCGCAGCATGGAGCGACATATCCTCGTTGGAGACGCCCTTCGCCATGACGAACAAGGGCCTGCAACTGCACGCACCCCTGGCTCCTATCCACAGACTGTATGACGAGTGCGTCTATGATGCCAGGTTGAAAGCTGAACTCGGGAGCATCATAGCTCAGGATGGTGGCTTTTCCAAGACCCTTTACGTTGCGGCCCTCTCCCCGACAACCAATTTTCGCCAGCTGGGCTTGCTCGTTAGACCTCTGGACAGCAGCTTGAAGCTGTTTGTCAGGGATTACACCCAAACGGTGCTAGACTTTCACTGGGCGGCTTTTGACGCAGAGGGACAGGCGACCCCGGCGTTCGAAATGACGCAGTTCTATCTAAGCCAACATACAATTCAGAAACTATCCCAGTCGCAGCTGGACAGAACGGCAACACAGTTGCCAGTCAGGAGACTTGATCTCTACCCGTTCTGTTCCGTTGAGACCATCCAGTCGCAAAGGCCGCTCGAGGCGCGCGGCGAAGACTGTCTGAACGCAGAAGGACGCGTCACAAACAGGTATCCCGGCCACGCCCTTCACAGAGTGAAGTATTGCAGTACGCCGGACGTGCTCGGCTGGACTGGCTGCTCGCTCATGTTGAGAGACGCAACAACCGACAAAGTGTGGGGGCCTCTCTGGGTCGTATGCCGCATCCGTCCCGCGTTCCTGCTGCACGATTCGACGGTCTCATGGTTGATTCTGACCGGCTCCATCGCCAAAAGACTCTGCAGCTTAAAAGACGCCAGAGAGATCGACGATTTGCTTCGGGCAGAGCATCACGGCACTCGGTTTAAGGGGAAATTTTATGCAGACTCGGTGGAGCAGACCTTCGTTTACAGGGACGGGGGCGAAGCCAGCAACATGTCGGTCCGCCTGGTATTCACGCAGCACAGGCAGGCGGCGACTCTCACGATTACCGCATATATTAAAGTAAGGCTATGACCCGTGTGTGGATATATTTCGGCATCTTCGTGGGTCTTCCAGCCAGCATCATGATGGGCCGCTATCCGAAGATCCGCTACACCACACTACGCAGAGAGTTGTTTGTGTCTCTAATGTGGGTGTAAGAGGAACTTGGCAGGGATTCAATCATTGTACTTTTCATGCAAGCGGCGCTCAAGAATGAGCTTTTTAACAACTCATCAATGTCAGTAAACGTCTATCATGTCATCCCTTCAGGAGCGAGAACGACCTCAGGTACGACGGTAGGAACTGGGCGCCAGATGTTATGGCAGAATTCAGTTTTCGGACCATCTCTATAATATCGCTTGACCGCACTGTATCAGATAAGAATCTTTCAAGTAGGCAGTCTAGCCGCTCCCCTTGGCTTCAAATTACATGAGACCGGTCTCGCTCCTAAAGGGATATAGCCGAGTGTGAATCCGGGCAAGGGTAGGCAAGATAAGCAAACTGTTTATCTCGTAGCACGAGATACTTAGACTAGGCGTAAAAACTGGCTTCAAATCCACGACGAGGTTCGCTCGTGGATCTTCTCATCTAGTCAGATGCTTGGCAATGAGAGCTGATATTCCTTGAATGCAAGACTCAACGCTACACAAACCACCCTGATGAATGAAACCAGATTTCGAGTCCTTAGTAAAAGTGCTAGGTGACCGACGCTGGCCACGAGGGTACATACCTAGTTTAATATTAAGTATATATCGATACTCCTTATCTAAATTGAAAAAGAAAGGGTATTAATATTAATAATACGAAATTTAATATTATCTAATTATATAGCGAGTAGCGTATAATACGGTATTATAAATAGAGTATTAGGAAGGCGCAGACCGTTAGATATTATATCTGTATCGGTAGCTCGATGCCGGGTATAACGGGCGAGCTCTGCCCCTCCCCCTATAAGCCCCAATCCGCAAGCCCCAAGGACCCAACCCAAGCACCCAAGCACCCAAACACCCAAGCATAGCAAAGAGCAGCCTCAGCACAGCCGCAACCGCAGCCTATATCGGCTTCCGGCGGTGATGCCCGTGTCATGCATAGCTACATCAGGTGCTTGATTTGGCTCTCTAATGATGCGCTTCGTCGACTCGGCCTGTAGCTCTAAAGTGCCGCCCAGCAGTAGTCGAGCTACCACACCATGTCCGTACCGTAGGTGAGCAAATTAACGGGCAATGGCTATTTAACAAGAGTCGGGATCGGATTCAAGGAAGCGAGCCAAACTGTGCTATCTATCACCAGTTCAGGGCGCACCAAACCTTATGCAAGGACAAGCATCAACCTCCCACTCCAGCACGGCCAGTCTTCCGTCAGCCAACCTCACCAGTGTGTCACTCACCCACAAACGCATCCAGTGACCCAAGCCGAAGCCTGCCCAAACACAACAACACATCAAACGACTCTCGCCGTGGTATTATAGCCTACTCCTCGCGGGGCCCAGATTCAAGGCTTCTCTCGACAAACAGATCAAAACCCCAGAGACCAACCCGCCAACGCGCCCGTGCCTCCGATATCGTGTCAAACTCCCATGTCCCAAAAATTGTCCAGGTATAAAAACCGCCATCCCACAAGAGATATATCATAGCCGCCCGCTCCACCTCCCTTCCCGTCCGCCGCAGCCGTCGAGCTCGCAAGACCGTTTGTCTTCTCCGCGGCTATTAATGGGGCGCCAAAGTCTTGTCGGCCCGGATTCGCCGAGCGCGGAACGAGTAGGAGGGGTTTGTTGTTGGGGGGGGACCGGTTTCAAACAATGCACCCAAATTCTCCAACCCATAAATAACATCCGTGTAAACGCCTTGCCTCTTTTTTCAAGGGCACTTTCTCCCTTTTCATGCTCCTCAGATGCATCTCTCAAATCCTCTGTACTAAATGTGTTGTTTGGGTCCCAAGCCTCTCGTGTGGGAGGGAGAGGACCCGCCTCTGCAGGAGCAGAGCACTCTTCGCCCGGGACTGCCTTTCATGGGACTGCCTCTCCCGGGAATACTGCACTCGGATATATCACCCCGGAATGATGCTTGTCGCCAGCAGGTGATAGTTGTTGACCTTGAGCGACCGAAACTGCGACCGCTGGTAGTTGGCGCCAGACCCGCTGATCACCAGCCTCCCGTCCTTGTTGATGCCAATGTCGCCAAACGTCTCGCTGAGCTCCTCGTACGCCGCGCGCGGCCGGGCGTCCTTGAGCTCGGAGAGGATGCGCCCGCTCCAGATGCCGAGACAGGCGTCGCCGCGGAGGAGGAAGTAGGGGTTCAGAGGCGGCAGCAGGGAGTCTGCGCAGGTCAGCAAGGCGTCACTTCGAATATCGCGCACAAGAACTCAAAGGGAAACGCACCTAAGTCTACAAAGCGGATCCGCAGGTAATCCACAGACCGAAGCTTATGCAGCGCCCGAATACCCTGGACAACGAGCAGCTCAAACGCATCAATGAACCCCGTGTCCTGGATGCCGCTGCCAGACTCGTGGAACACGGGCACAGGTCGGCAGCAGTTCTTGACGGTGATGTCGATACTCTTCAGCCGCGTCGTGCGAGGGTCGGTCAGTTCGGCGAGGACGCGGAAGAAGGACTTGCAGATCCGGCCCGTGTAAGAAAAGTGCTCGAGCTGGGGCACGGCCTCGGCGAGCTTGGTGCAAAAGTGGACGGTCCGGCAGACCTTGACGTGGTGGGCCGGGTAGGTGACCTCGCGGCGGTAGTCGCTCTCGAGGCAGAGGTGAAGGCTTTTGAGGTGGGCGGCGGGCAGGTCGGGCAGGACGCGGGCCATGGAGAGATAGCTCTTGGACTTGGGCTTGGAGTAGGAGCCGTGCCAGTCGGTGAGGTTGGGCAGGGACGAGAGGATCGACTTGAAATCCTCGTCGGTGCGCATGAGGTTCCACTGGCCCCTCGTGACGAGCGTGCGGACGGATTCGAGGATCGGCAGGGCCCAGTCGTTGGGGCCAGCCCAGGAGGAATGCTGCACCATGGGCGCCTTCTTCCGCTCCCCGCCCTCGAGCGTCAGGATCATGACGAACGGCAGCGTCTCGGCGACGAAGAGGAGGGCCTCCTCGAGGGTGCAGTTGTTGGCCGGTAGCGTGTACGTCGCGTTGGTGAGGCCGTCGGACGTCACTGTCGGTAGCGCCAGGGCGGAACTCAGGGCTAGCGGGCCGTACTTTGGCTGGAAGACGGGGAACCACAGCTCAATGTGCTTGACGTAGTAACGCAGGTCATCGTGTGCGGCAAAGAAGGTCATGGCGGCGTGGACCGAGTCGATGGTCGCCTTGAGCTTCAAGTGTCGGAACAGCCTCTGCTGGATCAGGATCCTCCATGTGTGATTGATCAGCGCCAGCTCGGACAGCTCTCTCCTACGCGAATGTCGCAGCGCCGTGTTCCAGCTCTTGGTGACGCTCTGCATGTCGACGGAGCTTTTTCGACTTTGTCGACACACGGTAGCCAAAGAGGTGGTCGAGGATCATCTCGTGCAACCTCGGAGGGCAGATCGAGCAGGCTCAGCTTCATCTCGAGCACCGTCTCAAAGTGTTCCGAGTAGGGCGTCGTCGTGAAGCCGGCGTCGTGCTCGAAATCCAGCATGTCCTCGTCGCCCGACAGATAGTGGTAGTTGGCATGCCGCGGTTCGGAGTGGGGAAACGGCGTGCTGCTGGGCCGCGTCGGCGGGACAAAGTCGGAGCCCTTGGTCTGGTCGAGGGGCGGGCTGGAGGAGCCGGGAGAGACGGGATTCGAGGCAATGTTGAGGACGGTGCTGCCGATGATCGAGGCAGCCATGATGTGTGTCAACTCTTCCTCGGCGGCCCTGCCCTCGCATCCGTCTCGCAGGGCTCGGTCGGGGCCGGTGTGCCGACTGTCTGCAGGCCTGGCAGACATGTCGCTGCTGGGATCGGCGCAATCGCCGGTGCGCGTTTATCGGGTATCGAGAGGTGTGCGGTTGATTTAAAGTATGATGATGATGACGACGACGCTTTCGCTACGGCGGATGTCGTGTGCGTCAAGTTTGCCGTCTTTGCGGTGGTGGGCGGTGTCGTCGGGCGGTTGGATGGTCGTTCGATTCTCTCGCTGATTTGGAAGCACCACCAAGTTGATGTGACGCCTGACGACCTTGATGGTTTGCTTCAAACAGAAGAAGATGGCGAAACGGGTGGGAATATTCCGAAGCGACGAACACGAGAATCGGAAAGAGAGGAAAAAGGAAAAAAGAAGTTAGTATGAAAGGAATGGAGAGACCGTGGCGTACGGTAGGCGGGGGAAATGAGATGTCAATAGTCGAACGTCCCCTTTGGATGGGTTGAGATTGGGAGGGATGAGCCACTTTACGCGGTCTCGGCGGATGGTCGCGTGCGCAATGAAGAAGCCACGCGCACAGTCGGTTCCAATGGTGTCGTCGTTGTCTTCGGTTTCGTTTTCGGCGATGATCGAGAGCAGAGGAGGTAGCAATGTCGGGCGGCTCAGGCACGGTGGACTGCACAGCAGCAGAGGGGTGGGTGGAAAGGAAAGATCACGAGATGAGGCAGGACCAGTGTTTGCGACGTAGGATCGGAGGTTTAGGAGACCAAAGTAAAGTCAAAGTAGAGTCAAAGTAGAGTCAAAAAGTTTTCGGATCTCCACTTTGCAGGGAGTGGGTAAAGTAGGGTTCCCAGTTGTCAGCCAACGGAGCAGGTGGCAAAAATTGGGGAGAGGAGGGGGGGGGGTGGGGGGTTATCAAGGCGCACATACACATAGGGTACACAAAGGGAGATGGGGCAGGAAATGATGAATTTTTTTCTTCGGAGGGGGGGGGGGGGGGGGGGAGAAGGAGCAGCAAACCCAACTGACCTGACATGACCAATGTGAGTTTGGTCCATTTTCAGTTGATGAGAGTACCAGTGACAGACTGATGAGACCCGCGGACCCCCTAAAAAGGATGGCGGGGCAGTTCGTGTTGGCCGTACTCAGTACTTGATAAATTAATTGGGCAGGGGGGTGGGGGGGCTCGAATGTCTGCGGTGCAAGCGTTGCCGGCGATCACCTCATGCAATGTGCACCGCCACGCACCGCCACGGCTTACCTTATCAGATCATGCATGCACTTTGGCAATGGAGGAAGTCTCATCTGGAGGCTTGTCTCGGAGAGGGGTGTCTCTTCCATCTGGTCCTACCTACTCTATCTATTCCGTCGATTGAATTTCTTGTCAAACATTGGTCATGTGGATATTTTTCACTACATTCAGCCATTCTTTAACCTCATCGAAATTGGCTTGCAGAGACCGCAGGTCTGCTCTGCACATGGAGCCGACCCAGCCAGGATGACGACCTAATCAAGATCAAGACCCAGCCAGGATGACGACCCGGATGATGACGACCTGGATGGTGCCTCCGTGTTTTGCTTACCCACGAGGCACAGGCGTCAAACCTCCAGCCGCAGCCACGGCTTACGCAGCATCAAGCTCAATCGGCGACAACCATGTGCAGCCGCAAAGTGTACCAAGGCAACCCTCTGACGCCAGCCTCTCTCAGCCCAGCCTTGTCGAGGTGCACACAAAGGCAGCCAGCAGAGGCAAACAGCAGGCCATTTCCCAAGACCCGTGTGCTCGGGACCCGATCATCGTGCCGTCGGCGATCGTGTGATGGCGATATACATGCAGCTGGAGCACGGTCGAGCAGATCACCCATGTTCTTGAGCCAGCCATTTATCCCTTTCACAATCAAGGCACAACCTCTACATAACACAGCCAGGCACATTGCCCATCGGACCGGCGTGTCGCATCAGATGGGCAAACCGCTGAGACGAGAGACGCGGCGTCGTGTCGTCGAGCTCGAAACACGCCGTTTCACCAGAGCCTGGCCCACACTTAATTCAGAGGCACGTTGGCCTGCGCGCACTGAACTGGGCGATTAGCCGCCCGCCGCCCCAACACGGCCCCGCACCGTCA